TTTAAAAATGTCAAATAACAATTTGGTATCGGTAAAATAAAAAAAAGACTGTAAAGAAATATATTAAAAATAATTGTACTGACCATTTATAGTTATTGAAATCAGATGGTAAGAAACGAAAATTGCAAAATCAACAGTACAACAAAAATAATCGATTAGAAAAAACTTGTAGTTGATATTTTTCTCAGGAGAGAATAAACACTATAAGTACGTAGGTGAAACATAAGCTATGAACGTTACCGACAATTGTGTCGCAATATAGTAACAACAATAATAATAAAAAAAGAAACATGCAGTCTAGAGTCGTGCGATCTAAGGATTGAAGCTTACACAATTCTCGGGACACGAATTAGTATTTCGTGCAACGCAAAGGACTCTATATGAAATAGGTAAGTAATTTCAAAGATCTCGGGTGTAATTATTATCGAATTTCGAGTACAATACACTGCTGATGTATTATCGACTTAGAACCAAATGGAAAAAGATGAAAAAAAAACAAAGAAAATTCATTCGTGTAATATAATAATATAGTAGATAAAGAAAAAAATATATATATAATCAACACCGACAATACGGTCGTCGCGGACGTATTGCAACTGTATTATTATTATTGTACTTAAAGAAATAACAGAAACAAAAAGTTTTTTTTTTTGAAATGCAATACCAATAGTTGACAGTACTTTCAATTTTGTAGGTGTACACATATATAGAATAGAACAAATTCCTTTTGTTCCTAGGTATTATGACGAAAATATGCGTGCCGAAATAGGATGTTTTATTTTTTGGAGACTTGACGGACTCCTGTGTATTATTTGAGTCGCTCATGTCTTTTATGATGCATACATGTACCGCAGCAGAACATTATAATAACGTTGACTGAGAAAATAATTTGATTGACGGTACTATTGCCGTACGCGTGATCTGTACTGCGGTGGCCTCCAAATACAACAAAGATATACCTGCACCGGCGACGGAACATATTATATATTGTTATTATATACTGCCAAAATGTACACATAGTTGAGTTCGTAAAATAATATTATAGTCGAGTTCGAAATTCAAGTCAAGTCCGATGACGTAAACAGGGAAAAATATCAAGAGGGCGCCAAACCACCTTGGTACACTTGATATAGGTATGGGTGTTTAATAGTAAAAATGGTGTGACTCCAAATTTTTTAAATATACACATTTTTGCTTAATGGAGTCACGTTCAGTCATAGCTTTCATTATAAAAGTGAAGCGATTCGAATAAATGCAAAAATAAATAATAAATAGAAAACACTGAATGAATACACATTAATTCACAAAAAGCTCGTTATTTCAAAATTAAATTAAAATGAGATAATTCACTTTTGCAATGAATGACATATCGGTACATCTGGTATGTACTGTAGTAAATATCTCAATAGTCCATTATAAAATCCCAGAAACTTAAAATTAAAGCTACAATTTCTATAATTTTGATTGCCATTAATTAACTCTTCCCGATAACAAATCTTGCAGTTGCTCATCTGGTTGTAAAATAATAAACTACATCACTACACCTAATAACTAGATTACAATATCGGTATAGAGTGGACCATTCAGTACATTAAGTTACACAGGAAGAAACCTGGTGGGTGTTGACTTGTCGAATCTGCTGAATAGTTTTATGTATTAAACGTTTTACTAACATAACATAGACCACCGATAGTTTTTTGTCGTTTCTGCGTTTCGAACGCCTTAATAACTGTAATTATGGTCGTTTCTAAAAAATAATTTAAAAAAAAGAGTATGAATTTTATAAGAAAATGTATTATGATGCTTTAAGAATGTGAAAAAACAAAAAAGAGTGTGCACGGTGCACCTAACGTATAATTTGGATAACCGGATGGATATCTATTATTATTAAAGACTTACTATCTGTTAACGAATCGATATGACGTGTTTAATAATTATTTTCTATTAATTTTTTTTACCTATTAAAAAAAAAGTAGTGTTTTTTACAAGTTGTAAACAACATACATTTATTTTAGTTTCGATGCAAAGCTGAGAAAGTATTAATTTACGTTGAATGATTTTTATATAATTATAATATTTTTAAAGATTAAAATTTTAACATTTCAGCTAAAAATGCTATACTTTGGCTTAATAATATTTTAGTTTGGATTAGTTAATGATGATTTAGTCATGTTCAAATTTGTAGCTATTTCCAAGACAGTGACCTCTTTGACCCCAATTTGATAACTTCTCACGGCCGTATTCATAAATTTTTTTTTTATAATATCTCTTGGGAACTACTAACAACATAAGAATGACATTTAATGGTACTAAAAAGTAAAAATATTAAATTCAAAATGATTGTTTATTGATTTCGCTAATGAGTCAGGTTGTCAGGTCGGTGAACTACTTGCGTCAATGTTTGCTTTCAAAATTATTATTCATTACTTTGCCAATATTTGCAGTGACCAACTTTTATAACTAGTATCCACCGGTGTCCGTCAGTGATTTCATCTCCTTAACTGTCAGATACCGACTTTGTTGAATTATTCTACTTGTTTCGATCGTCTTCTTGTATTTGAATAAACATTGGAGTACATTGAGTGGGGTTAGCTGTGTGTCTAGACATAAAATTTCCAACTGTTTTACACGATTTATTACCCATAGGTGTTGAGCAATAGATACATCAAACATGAATATTTTGAAAAAATACTATTTACATTGTTACAAAACACACACTAATGTAATGCAATCAGCACGTTAGTAAATCTGTCAAAAAGCTCAAGTATTGCAATAAAGAAAATCAGACATTCGAAGGTGAATGAACAAAATTCAAGCTTATTATGGAAATAACGACGATGACAACTGTACATTGTATCTGGAATCGTTTACATCTCTAAGCCTGTAATACATTCTTAAAGTGAGATTAGTTTATGGTCTATGTGATGCGGTTATTTTTGTTAATGATACTAATCATTTTTTTTTAGTTGCCTTGACCTATGCATTTATGAATTCGTTAAAAAAAATGTATAATAGGTAGGTATTATATGTAGTCTGTACACAACGTGTCACGCTATTATTGCTATTAGAATAACGGGTTTTTGTTGCATAAAAGAATATTATATTTAACACAATCTTTGTTGGGATGATATTTAAAGGAAGACTACACAGAAAAATATTGTATTGTTTTGCCGTTAAAACGAAAACGTATTTATTAGCAATATCATTGTTTTAGCGAAATTATTTAAATTAAAACTAAAAAAAGTTTAACTCTTGTCCACAATCTCTGTACAAGAACCGTTTTTTTTCTTCAAACTAGGTGTTTAAATATTCATAAATATATATTTTTTGTTTGATCGTCTCAGTTTTCTATTTTCTGAAAATCAAAGCTGATATATTGTTTCTCCACTTTTTTTTATAAACGCTACCATCATCATTATTATCGACATGTGCCGGCGCACTCGTGGTAAGGCTGTCAAAAGTATTGATTTATTGATACTTATGTTTAGTATTTTGGAATTGATCATTACAGTCAATAGTGACTCCAAGAACAAAAAAACAAATTATGGAAATTACTTAGAACGATAAACCTGTTCGTGAATTCTTTTTTAGTCCCATACGCAACTAGGAGTGAATAAGCAAGCTAAATACAATTGTCTCACCGAATTTCGTAACTTGTCGACCATTATTTTTATCTTCTTAAGATTGTGATCCAACAATCTAACATTTATTCATAGGCATTATTTTCATAGTTCATCATTTAAAATTGACTTTAGCCTTTTGTAAAATAGCTAATTGTGTTAATGGTAGCATACATTTGTTTTTACAATAAGACGACCGTGCTATGCTTTTACTTTAAGTTAAACCAAAAAAGTTTGAGGATGTCTTAAATCTTAAATTTCCAATCTGTTAAAAATACTTCCCTAAATAGCCTCTTTGATACTCGGCGTTTCTTATATTTTTTAGCGCCTTAAGTTAGTCTAAAGCTAAGCAGATTTTACTTAATAAAATACATCAATAGTTAGTTAATAGTTCATTATTAACTAACTAACGCAGTTTCACTAAAAAAAATGGAGAGGCTTAAACACGTAAGCTTCTCGTTCATGTAACTTAATATAATGAATGAAAACAATTTTGTCCACGACAGCTAATAACTAAAACGGTGTTTTAAGGTAAATTTGAGAATTGTGTACAATTCAATTTTAGTTACTAAATATCTTGTATTATAGATTATAATTATACAAAAAAAAAGGACTTTTTCCAAGCATGTTGTCTTATAAATCTAGTATTCAACATACATATTTCGGTGTACCTTCCCTTTCATTTAGAAGGAATTAGTAAAGATGCAGTATGGAGGATCTGTTATTTTATGACTTGGTCGATTGTTCAATTTTTATCATTTTTCTTACGACCAAAATTAAAATATCATCATATTAATATTTCACATCAAGGTTTAAAAAAAATGATTTTTTTTATTCTGGTTTGTTTTTACTATACTATTTAGACGTAGTATTTATAAAATAAAAACAAAGTTTACTCGTGTGGGATTTTTTTTGAAATTTCACTATTCAACGATGACTGGCCGTGATTGTTATATTGATGAGAATAATAATAAATGGCCGTACTAAAAAAATTATGCTAAAGGGCAACGAATAAAGTCTTTTGCCACCCTCCGCCTCTTGTTGATCCGCACCTCGCCGTACCGCCCCAGATCCGGTCAGCGCGTATCTATGCGTTATGACTTATGAGTGCCAGCATAGGTATAGGAAGGTAGGTAATTAATAGGTGTACAATTTTGACGTTTAAGATTTAATACATTATAATAATGAGACAATATCTTCGGCGGTATCTCGATTTATTCGCACGTATCCGATATGGTACACATGCGTTAACGCATTACGACGGCGGATGTTTTAACAACAGGAAGAGGATCTTGGTGTAAAGTAGGCTAACGGTGGTGGAGGACAGGCGGGGCGTTGCGCGGGAAAGTAGGACAGCGGCTATGAACTCCCCTGGAATGTCGGACTACGGTTTAGTCGTACTCTTCGATCTCATCGTGGCAAACTCAGACCGTGTGCGCGTTAGTTTGAGCCTCGTCGCTTCTCCGTCAGGACATCCACTCGCATTCGGTAAGACAACAACATAATATTATAATATATCATAGAAAAAAAAAAATTAAACTAATAATAATATATTATTATAACAATCGTAGCACAAACTATATATGATGACGTTTTCGGTCTCACGGTGCTTAAATTTTTATTAGATATTTTCAAAACATTTTTCTCACACGGTATACTCATAGACATCGGTCGACTTCTTACAAAATATGTATTATTAATTGTACAGACGATGGATATTTTATTCACTTTAGTCTCAAAAAAAAAATGTAATATCATATTCTCATTTTAGGCAAGAATCGTTAAGCTTCAACGCAGTATAAATAATTTTAAGGAATCTGCTACAGTTAATTATTTTTTTTTATCCGTCAGAGAGCCAAAATAAATTTGAAATCATTTAATTAACAATATATTATTATATTTTGGGTATCATTATAGTTTGTTATTACATTTTTTTCATTTTGGCATAAGCTATAAATGCATACCAAAAGAGTACACTTTTTTTTTTAAATTTAACCGCGCGTTTGAACGTATTGACGTCGTTACTATGAAAATATACAGATAGGTGTACAGATAGGTATTTTTTTTTATTGGAAACAATTCTTCGATGAAGCCAGTATTTGGCTTTCTCCTAATGCGTTTAGAAAGTAACTCCCTTCTTCAATCACAAATAGACATAATGAAATAGATTATTGTTATTACAATTATTATTATTTGTAGTTATTATGATTACTATTTACTATTATGACTGTTATTATTATTATTGCTATTACCATCATCATCATCATCATCGTTATACCGTTGTTAATGTTTACTAACGCCGCGAAGCGATTGTTAATTTGTTGTATCTGCTTGTCAGAAAACGAATGAAAAAATAATTGGTATTTAGGCAAAAATGGGGACGAGAGAATGTAGTGCAGACAGAAACAGCGGTCCTTATGATATTATAGTAGGTACATTATGGGATCGTATTGGAGTTTCACCGAGTTTTCCACATTTATGCATTTATAGGCTCACGCATACAAAAAAAAAAAAAATCAAAAGTATTGTTGGATTTGATGTTTTAATTTGACGTCGTTCTCGAAAATTGGTTTGTAACACATTGGTCTCCGCCATGAGAGCCCAGCGGTGGTTCTATAAACGAACCGACAATTCGTTTAGGTCTTACAAGCAATACTCGGCTCTAGACGTGATATTACCTAAAGTTTCGTTGGTCATTATGGGAATGAGCTGATCAGTCGTACTGGGGCTAGTTGAAAATCCTGTTCAGTTAGGCTAAAGTACTTTTTTCCGGTGTATTTAGAGCTAACTGGTACCAATACAGGACGGTTTCTTGTATTGTATAATACTATATGTAGGGTTGCATAAAGAATTAATACATTTAATGATCCATTAAAATTTAATGGACCAATCACGGGCCACTAAATTATGTTTCAGGAACCACTAACATCTATTGGTTCATTAAACGTTTATGCAACCGGCATATGAGTTATTATGGGATCATTACACAAATATAATATTGTATAATATTCGAAAATTAAAATGTCTAATAAAATGTAAGTACAAATCAAACAAAACTGATATAGCAATATTATAAATGAATTACCTTAAATGTATAAAACTAAATTCAATCGACCGTGATATGACAATTTCGGCATACACGTGAAGTTCATTGCACTGAAATCTGTAAACAAATATTATATTTTCCCGCTAATACTTAACTTAACATTATTCTCAAACCGTTTTGACGCTTACAACGATATCAATTTAAAATTAAAAATATTACAGTGTTATTACTTTCTAATTTTTTTTGTGCATAACAATATTGTCCTTGATTGAAATCACGAACAATTTATTAATACCTCAGGCAGTCGGTACTTTTAATTTAGATACATGTCGTAGGTGTTTAACTAGGCTTATAGAATCGTTTGTGTTATTAATTTATTTATTAAACATTTTTATCGTCTTCGGGAAACTATCAAGCGGTAATTTCTAATTATTTTATTTATGGCTTTAAGGATGCTTAAAATAAAGTAGTAATATTTTAAAAATCGTTAAAAAATGTGCTGGAAGGCAATGGAGAAAATCAGCACGGCGCTTCTTTTTAATTTCTTTTCGCAAAATGTGTCCCCTATAAATTCTGTCGATTGGCTTATTCTTTATTGATCGTAGTAGGTATTGGTAGTTGTTTTTATGAAAGTTTTAATCAGTTTTTGCTCATTTTGGTAGTCTAGTGCGTATGGGATTAGTGTTGGTTGGCCAATGTCTGTTCTTGGTTTGGGTAACATCAAGTAATCAATTTAAAGCATAAATTATTCGAACTTTCGTCTCGCACGGGTTATTTAAGAGGGTCGGAGAACAATTTATTGAAAATTAAGGTAAACAATTGCTTCTAAATGCTCTGTATTCTGATGTGTTGTAGAATTTACAAAACAAGGTACTACAAATAACACTGTGATGGTTGATGCCAGTTAGCTATTAGCTTTTACGTGAACGGATATCTACTGTTGAGTCCTACACGATTTGGGCAATTTGTCTATTTTTTTTCTGACAACACAACTATCATAGTTTCCCTCGCAGAGTTGCAATTGGTCTATAACAAAGAGCTGACGACTCCATAATTCACTTATTAATGGCGTTATCTAATGCTTTAGCGGTCGTCAATAGGATGCTAACCGCATTCCGATAATCGATATTTTGCACCTATCAAACACAATAGACAGTTGTAACCGATAACGTGGCTCGCGGTAAGGATAGACACCCGGATGCACACATAACATATAAACAATAGTACGTGATCTACCATTGTTTTCTTTCGGACGAAGAAATCATATTATTGACTTTCCACTATATAAGATATATATAACGTGACCACTCGAAACAATCCATACAGCAATTAGCGTTCAACGTGACAGCCTAAGGTTAAACAAATTATAAAAATGTATACATAAAAAAAAAGAAGAAAATTGGTAACTCACAAAGAAGATGAATATACCCAACGAAACAAAAACACTCTTTGGGCAATTACACGGTTTGACGTTTTCCCAGGCACGTTTGGTTTTTTAGCGTTTATTTGTTTTTAACAGTTTGGCATAGTAAATATGCTTTGTCAGTTTCGGTTAGGCAATAGTGTGATTTCGAGTATTCTGGGGGCACGCATACTTTTGGCTTCATCCGTTTGTCCGGTGTTGGCTGGCAATATTTCAGCGAAATCGTCTAGCGTTTACGGTGTATAAAATAGGTATAAAAAAAACTATGCGTTACCAAAGTGTCCCAAACGAATTAACGGAAAATAACTCTACTAGTAAAAAAAAAAAAAATGTATTAAATTTCCCGTGCCAACATTTTTGACGTGATCAGTAACAAAAACGTCTTAGAAATTTAAGAGAAAATGATAGCGCTGAATAAATGTACGGTCGCGACGGTTTCTAGTTTTGAATCATAATCGCTGGACGACTTCGCAGAATACATATTCACCATACATCCATGTGTATTAAAATAATAATATTATTATGTTAGTTGATGATTTATAGAAGAAGTATAGGTATTGGTTCTCTGACACGGTGTGCCGTTAAACTCGGATCCGGATCAGCTGTTCTCGAGACCAGAAATAAATTAGTAGGAGTGAACGACGTTTAATTGTTGTAGAAAAGTGAAAGTGGCGGAATAAGTAAAAAAAAAAAAAGGATCGCGTGAAAAATAATTTGAAACTAATTGTTCTGGACCTATGAGATGCGATTTCGTAATGAACAATATGGATCTCAAATAAAAAAATTAAAAAAAACTGGTAAAATTCAAAGCGCAAACGGCCGAGTATTATTTATATGGACGAGACGTTTGAATAGAAACCCGCGTTGGCCTGCGGTGCGAAATAATTTAACCTACTATACAGTCTGGGTCAATCTGTCAGGTGTTCGCATGACCCACACTGACACGTTGACACGAGATGTCAACATTATTATTTACTTCTCTGTCATTGAAATGCATAACTGTTTCTTCCAAAATGAGAGTAAGAGAAAAAACAATAAGCATATAATAAATAATCAACTTAATCGATATCTGGCAATGTAATTTTCGAGTGTACATTTTTTCAAATTATTTCGATTAACGGGTTTTTGTCTAATTTGTTATAAACCTATTTGTATTATATTTTATCGAAATGATTTTGTACTAAGAATGGTTTTCTAATGTAAATCTACTATAACATAATTTTACAAGTGAAATGTTTTTTTTATTACAACAATGTGTATGTTTTTTTTAATTTTCAGTCCAACATGTTTCGAAAAATATGTTTGTTCCTTTTTGGAATGACAGTTGTGGCGGCACAGAGGAGATTAGCATTACCCGATCCTCGTAGCTGCTCTAGCAGTAAGTAATGACGCTTTTACATATTTTATTAACTTGCATTATTACCAGAAAAAAACAATTTGGATCATCTCGTCTAGACAGTTTTTGGGTTGTTCCGATTAAAGCTTTCTCCATTTATGTGATATCTTATTGTCGAATTACTAAACGGATTTTAAAATTACACAAAAAAATAGTTCATATTGTAGAAGTCCTTAAACGTTCGTTCCAGGAATCCGACACGCTACTTACCGCGATGCCCGTGGAGTCACACATTCATACTTCTTCAGCTGGGAGCACACGCCAACCAAGAGCTTGGAAGTGGACTGGTTAGACGCCAGAAACATTTGCCGCAGACATTGCATGGATGCTGTTAGTTTGGAAACTCCCCAGGAAAACGAATTCGTCAAACAAAGATTATCAAGAGGTAAACTGAATTTAATGACATCAGGCTCGTTTTAGATATACATTAGGGCAACAATTGTTAGAAACCGAAAAACTAACATTTTCGTAACAGTCCTAATTTAATGTACATATTAAAAAATCATCTACCAAAACGTTTATATTGCTAATAGAAAGTTAAATTTTTCTCGTTAAGCACTTTATGAACGGGAAGACATAATATTATACAACGTGTGCCATAGTTTATAAGTTACAACGATTTATATTAGTATTTTTTTTATATATTTTAGTATATTTAACTACGTTATATTGAACGCAAGCTATTTGCAATTTACTAAAGTCATAATGTTAAAAAAGTAAAACTGTAGTCTGTACGGGTCATATTAGTGAACATTTATGTATGTAAGTCATAGGAAAAGTAAATCATAAATAACACGAGGCTTCTTTGATAAACTCAACAAAATAAGCCAATGCTATAAAAAATCTACACCGTGTTTCAATTTAGACTATAAATGTTCTGCAGGTTATTGTAGGAATACACTAAAATTAAAATGTAATTTCTTTCATTATTCACTACTGAGTGACTTTTAGTTTTCAATAAAAAAAACAAATACAATATTTATCATTTAAAAATAAGTAACTTGCTTAAAAAAATATTTTGTAAGCCTATTAAGCAATTTTTGTTTTAAATATTCGGAATTTTCGCCCAAAGGAAATTGTTGGAGAATTAAACGCTTCGAAAGTCATTGTTAGGGCGTATTGCACAATGCTCTATTTAATAAGGTAATGCAGATTACATTCTGGATGATGATACTATCGCACGTGGGTTGCGCATCCTAAACCTACACGACATCTTAACGTGAGAGCATTCGTATTTTATAGTACCATTATCATTAGTAGTCTGTATTTACTATTTTCCATTTAAAAACTCAGTCGAATAAATTAGTTTAAATATTTCGAATGAAATTCCATTATGATCTCTATTTTTACATAGTACCCCAATGAGAGAGTTACAAAAAATAAATTACTTGAGGGGAGTGGGCTGGTAAAATGAATAATACACAGAGTCGTATGGTGCTTCCCCCTACATCCCCTCTGTATACTTTAAATATTTTTTAAATATATAAATAAACTTACACAGAATTCTAAATTATTTATCCTTTAAAATTATAAATATGATTGTTTAGTACAAAAAATATCTTACATTATGTATTTTTTATTTATAAAACCATAATTTGTAATTAAGGAGCCTCTATACTGGCATTTATTAAAGCACACTGTGTAGGCAATTTTAAAATAAAACATAACATTTAGCTACAATTTGTAAGCTCATACATTAATACATACTTCCTTGTTATTTACCATAGATTACAGTATTTTATTGTATAGATACAGTATTTTTGTATAGATTATTATGTATTTAAGGAGCCTTTACACTAGCAATTATGAAAACGCATTTTATAGAAAATTGTTCAATAAAACTTTGCATTAAGGTAATATTTGTAAACTCGTTAACACACAAAGTGGTATCTGTTTTGATAAATATATTTTTTTAAACTTTTAGAACGCATACAGGCTTTATTTTTGTACAAAAAACATGTTTCTTTCTATATTAAACAAAAATTTGAATTCTTTCTAACAGTTAACAAGGTGAATACCTTGTTAACTGTGGCACAATTTTCAATTATTTTATGCGTTACATACTTAATTCTTTATTAAAGTTAGATTCGTTTAAAACCCTTAGCTTATGATTATTACATTATTTTTTAATTATCCTAACTCTTTATAGACGTTACGGTGCAAACCTTACATATGACAATAAGTCTAGAAATAGTAATCGGCATACCCACTTTGTATTTAATAGTTTTTTTAAAATTTAACCTTGGACAGGAAACGTAAAGTACATTTGGACGTCCGGTAGAAAATGTAACTTCAACGGTTGCGACAGACCCGACTTGGTGCCTGCTAACGTTAACGGTTGGTTCTGGTCAGGATCCGGTGCCAAAATCGGACCGACTACTCAACGCAACTCAGGCGATTGGAGCAGTACCGGCGGTTTCGGACAAGCACAGCCCGACAACAGAGAAGCACCTCAAGTAAGTGTACAGGGGTAGTAAAATGTCTAAGTGTTGCCAAGTATACATTGCAAGTAATAACACGGCAACAAATCTAAATGGAATAAAATGACAAAAACGCCAATTTTATATCTATAAAAAGTACTTACCTACCTTATTATAAATGTATCATTAATCTTTATTACCTCTGATAATGAACATTGATCCGATATTTCTTATAGTATTATATAAAGATAATAATATTAGGTACACATTATAAAAAAAAAGGTTTTTTAAATGTTTAATTTTTAACCAAATATGAGCGATGTAAAACACCATACGTATTTCTTCCATAAATAATAAATACACTGGAAGGGATTTCACCTATAAGTGGCGTAATTGGAAGGAAGGGCTTATAGGTTGAGCGATTATAAAACCTTCCAAAAACGTTTTTTTATAGATATTATAGCCCACTTTTTACAACTTATATATTATAAAAAGGAGGTTGCAACTTTTGCAACTTTTTTGTCATTGGCTCCTATAATTATTATTTAATTAATATCCGGACTTCTCATTGAAATTTACTTTAAACTTATAATCAAACTTGATGGTCGATCAAATGTTTCATTTTTTTTTTTACTTTCCACTTGAAATAAAAAAACACAAAGTTAAAGTAAAAAGGTTTTTTTTAACGCAAACTTTAAGTACATATTTTGATCCCTTTGGTCATCCTTTGTGTTGGAAGATGTATGATATTTAATAGGCGAAAAAGATCTGATTTAATTTAAAATGTAGAGGTACGCTAAATTATCTGAACCCCCAGGACACTCAGTCCTGCCAAGCCAGATTTGTCTACTCTGGATTCCAAACTACACACATTTCGTGTTATTTCGTGGCTATTCTATTTGTATTGTTTTTTGCATAATGTGTAAGCACATCTTTATTTATCGTAACCCTTTGCCCGTAGGGTAATGACGAGTCTTGTCTGGCAGTATTGAACAACTTCTACCAGGACGGAGTAAAATGGCACGACGTCGCTTGTCATCATCTGAAACCGTTCGTTTGCGAGGACAGCGATGAGCTGTTGAACTTTGTCCGCTCCCGCAACCAAGGAATTCGCCTTTAAGGAGTACACATATTTTTTATTTTTGTTGTTTTTTTTTTTTACGAAATTGTCCACGTTATGTTTGTATAACGCGTCCGTCTATCTGGAGAGTTATTCAGTTCCCGCCAAACGAATATATACATATATATTTTATATAATACAATATAATATAGTATAATATTATACATATTATTATTATTATGAAATGAACGTACAATTTTTGTAAAATATGATATTTATAACCCGTATTTATTATGTATAAGTTTAGTTGACGATAAACATTTTTTTTATAAATATAAAAATCAACTGATTTATTTTATCTTATTAGGTACTGTATACTATTTGAGCCCATCAAGAGTAAAACGGTGTAAGTTATTAATTTTTGTTTTCAATTATTTTGTAGCAAGTGTACTACAGAAAAAAAAATACCTGTATCAATGTGTCTACTTTTGATGGGCTCATCTGTATCGATAAGAATAGGCGGTAATCGTAGTGAATGTATATTTTTCGAGAGGGAAATTAAGTTATCTATTAATTTAGAAGATAAATGTTGCCCAATTAAAGTCATTGGACGTCCACGAGATCCGTCATAAGCAGTACTCGTTAATTTATGGTTCTCATGACCTCCATCAATGAAGCGGTTTCTAGTAAAAATAATAAATAATACGCGCTTATCGCGTCTGTGTGCCTTTTACCATCAAATTATACCAAGACCCGTTATATATGGTTGTATTTGAAAGGTGGACTCGTTAAGTTTGCTGCGAATTTATTTTCACACATACACACAAACACGCTGAGTCATCGGATCGTGGCATGTAGTTTGGCTAACCTAACAGTAATCTTGTTCAGCGCCAAGTACGGGGCACTTCCTAGACGTATACGCCTTCGGGGCGAACTGCTAAAGTGGAGGCGTCACACAGACACACACACACAAATTCAAACGTATATAATAATATAACTTCAAGTGTACCAGTACAGCAGAGGGCAAGGCACCGGTTTGGCGAGTAGGCCCCAGTGCGGTGTTTTCTTATGGCCGAAAAACCAGTCGCCGTTGCCGCCGGCCAGACGACCGCGAATCCACAAGTCAAGAAAGTTTACACGCGAAGGCGATGACCCAACAGGCAATACCGTCAACCCACTCTCCAAACTGTTTTTACACTATACTCAATGTAGTCTACATTACCGCCAAGATCAATGTCGGACGCACAAGGTCTCGATGACGACGTGACACTCCCATCTAACATTCTTAATACGCTACCACAAAACGTAAAACGTTCATAACACCTTTGGTGTAAGGGGGAAAAACAAAACAATATTTTTTTAACAAAACGTAGAAAGATTGACAAAAACATAAAGCCCTTTTCAAAGGAGACAAGTAAAATAAGTAAAGACTACGTTTTCATTAATATAACTATTGACAATCGCAACGCATTAGGTCAGAGGGTCTATTAGAAACACCAATACTCGATCTTATTTGGCCTTCCGCTTGAAATATTGACCTTGCGAGTTTAAAGCAGCGTTACTTGTACTACAGTTAATATTTAAGTGTATGATGAATTAAATATAGATAAGGTAAGAGAAAGTCGATTGTTCAACTCCGTAGTGAGGCCAGCGATGATTAATATTAAATAAGAATTATAAAAAAAAAAGAGTACCTGAAATAAAAATATCTAAATGGAGAGTCATGCTGATAGAATATAAGATAATCGAGAATGGATTAAGATGGTTTGCGCGTTTTTAAAAAAGGGAATGAAATTAAGTAGAGTATTGAGTATGCCTCTAGGCATTAGAGACCTAGAGGGAATTAGGTGTAGACCTAAAACCAGCTGTTATTAGGATTAGACTATTTAAAACAAAACACAATATAAAGATAGAGTTGGCAAAAATAATCGATTTTAATCGATCAGACATAAATGTTGCACATAATTCTATTTACAGAAATGTTACTGACATAAGATTGGATAACTTATTATCTAATTGTTATCATAACATACTACAATATTAAATTTCTTTCTGTACTTGATTAACGACAATAAATTATTATTATTATATTTTTAATACTTAATTAACTATGTACCTATGTAAGTAATTATCAATAGTACCTATCTTTTTTTTAAAGATAAAATTTAAGTTTAAATTCGAATATTCCATTAATTATGTATAATAGATTACACAACATATCACGAATTTTTCTTTTAGTTATAAAAAAAAAATTGCGATTTTGTAGTTTTTATTTTTGGAAATAATATATGTAGTTTTTATTTTTAGTTCATATTATTTTATAACATTAGACAATATTTAAATTGTTATCTTTTTATTTTTTTTTCCAAAGCTTTATCGACTTATAAAACTTAAATGGTAAGGTATATATTCAATTAACCATTTAAATTAAGAATAATTTTCTGAAAATGTTGACTGGTCAAGGCCAGTTTTGGATAATTATTTTTAAAGTTATTAAAATTTAAATTTAGGACGGGAGGAAACGCGTGTGTATTATGCCCGCATTACTCTACACATTCCACCCCCGTCCTTAATTTCAACAGTCAACTTAAGTAATTTCAAAAGTAATTATCCAAAATTGGTTATCGACCAGTACAAAGTTTCAACAAATTATTTTTAATTATATATTATTATTTGAGTTTCAATTGTTAATAGAGCTGTGGAAAGTACTAAAAAAGGTAAATGTGTTAGTGTGTAGTTTCGATATTCTTTGGCTTTAAAATGAGAAAATATTTATCTGATGAATTATATACTTTTCTCTTGAGAGGCTGAGAGATAAAACATTGAATTGGTATTTTTCTGTTATTGCGACTACCTAACGATTATTTTGCTAGGACTACTAAGGCTGCACTTAATGGAACTAATAAGCAATAGGGAAAATATGTTTTGCTTAACTTTATACTCTTAGGGTCCCTCGATTTGACTTTGATTTTATTACATTACTTACGTAAATTAATGTTTGGCGGATGAGGTCAGATTATGTAGGTTAATACACTCGTTAGCAATTAAAAAGAGCTGTTCTCTTAATTTCATCGCTTTGGACCAGATTAGATTTCTTGTAGTATTTTAGAGACAATTTTAGTCTTAATATATTTGCATAGAAATCATATAACTTCTAAACGTTGAATAACTTATCTGACTAGTGTAATTTCTGTTAAAAATTACAATTAACGGTATTATAAAAATATTTTTAATATACCTCCTGGACTGTGGGTTCGTTCACACATAACAATGTGGATATTGAATACGGTCAAAGTGTAATTTCCCTCTTTGAACAAAATATGTTTGTTGTAAAAATTATTTTGTATCGAATCAGGGGTTTTCCAGGGTTTTAGCCCTACCTTCCTTCATTTAAAACGCAAATCATTAATTGCGCCCCCCTGTGTAATAGAATACCACCGGTTGTTTTCTTGGCCGAAAATATCGTAGCAACAGCATTTTTGATTTCATTTTCCATTATCGCGGTTGTCGTCAAACAACCGTCAACGGGTAGACATGTGGAAATATTAAAAATTTTGTTTTTAAATTTTAAGTATATTTTTAAAAGTAATTTATTAAAACTAAATTATGGAGCGTCGCAGAAATGTTTTATGTGTATTAGCGCTTTGGTCGGTGGTGGTTCTGGCCGTGTGCAGCATAGCGAGGCAATGCGTCGACCGGCTTTACCCTAACGGAGACGGCGCCGGCGGACACTCGTCGGGCGCGACGTCCTGCGAGGGCTCAGAAACGTCAAGGGCGGTTGGCGGCATAAACACGATGAACAACGGCGCCGTGTACAACTTGCACGGTTACTCGTACGCGGTGATGGTCACGCCTAGGGACATTGGTTACAAGAACGTGAAAAGCGCGTGCGCCGGGACAATGATAGCACCGCTGTTCGCGTTGACGGCCGCCCACTGTACGGTCTCGACAAGTACCGTCAACGACATCGTAGTCCGTTTGAAATCGAAATGGACCTTCTCGCGCGGTGGTGCCTAAAACTAGATTTTTGTATTTTTACCAACGTTTGAAATTCGCGACCTGAAATTATCGCTGAACTCTACGTATGGAACGCTTATTCAGATTGAAAAATCTGGTCCCGGAGGCAGCCATTTTGTGTACCGATTTTATGAAAAGTAAAAATGCTACGTTACTTTTTCATGATACGTATAAAAAAAATTAGGTTAGGGTGATGATAACTCCGTCATATATTTGATAAATCATAGAAAAATTAATATCATGGACCAAACGAAAACTGTTCACAAAATGGCAGTCTCCCACTAGTGAAGTCCTCACTTTCCGCATCACATGTACAAAATCCGGTTAATTCATTTTTTTTGAAAAATTTAGATTTCTGTCTCATTACTACAACCCATCATTTATTTGCAATTGTAAGCAGAATACTTGGTGGGGCTTCGCCTATCATATACTCAATTTCCTTGGCATTCACAGGCTTAAGATTAGTACCCTCGAAATAATCTACTTGTTTACCTTAAGTTATATGGGAGGGGGAGGGCTTTGCAATAGTGTATAAGTTCTAACACACCTACACTTTTTATTTACCAAAATTGTGTCTCTGTCGCCAATTCACTGGTTTTGTTTATTATTTTAAATTAAAATGAACTTTACTTAGTACGTAATCCGTTCAAAATTATCTTTTAAGAGGACGCCACATCGCCCATTTTTAAGGAGTAAAGTATAGGCAATTTTTCGAAAAATCTTACTTTAGAGTTTGAACTGAAATGTATACCTATTAATACAGTAATAAGGATACTTTGTTGATTGCCATTTTTTTGTCAGACTATCACACTCATTTCTATAGGATAAATTACAATTTTTTTCTCATCAAAACAGTTTTAGGCGGATTAATTTTTCTTAGGCTTCATATATAGTTAAGGAAAGAAATTCATACATATTATATATGACAAAATTATCTGTGCTCTAGCATCCGTATTTTTTCGATATACCTACAGTCGACGCTATATCATTTTTAAAAAAGTGAAAAAAGTCTTTTCTTAATTAATTAACTATTCATTACCTGGTTGAAATATTAAAAAAAGGCCATGGTAGAGCACAGACAATATTGTTGTCTATATTATGCGAAGATTTGGTTTCTTAGTTTTTATTACAGTCTTTGTAAAACTATTCCGCAAGGCCGGGTTTTTGAATAAAATAACGGCTGTGTGACGTCCTCTTAATATACAAACGAACTTTTTTAATATAATAGACTTTAAATAGAACTAAGTAGTATCAGTTTAGATCTCCATAAAAAGTTTTAAAGGTTCAATAAATCGCTATGATATATCTATAATTGTAGGCCTTTAAATACCAAAATTAACCGCGAACCCTTTCTACATAGTATGATATTTCAAGCATAAAATTTGTTTAATTAATACTTTTTAGTTGATAATGTATTTTGACATTCACTGGTTTACCTATTTATTAACAGTTTCAACTGTTTCAACGATGCCACTGTACTTGAATAACAAAAATCACTTTAAAACTGTATTTAAAAAAAACTTGACAATTTTTTAGATTTATACAACATGCATAAAATTATATTAACTCAAACGGGGCTATAAAGACACTATACTAAGGGTAAGGTGTTATATTTCTCTTTATTGCATATATTTCAAATTTTTGATAGTTATTAGATAGTATTAAATAAAGTAGATATTAGACAAAAATTAAATCGGATGTAAGAAGTAGTTCAGATAATAATTCTGCATCGGATGTCTTTATAAAACTTCACAAAGAATATTATTCGTTCTTAACCCTTCGTTAATGTGTGGTGCCTAGAAATATTTAGAAATCTCTTGTCACGTGGTTTCCCAACACACTAACAGAAACGTAATCTAAATACGAATCATAAATATATATAAGTATGTCTACTGTCTTGGTAAGACGAACAAGTTATGCTCACACAGGTTCTTAAAGTACTTGGCTGATATACCATTAGATGGCTCGTGTATTTATTTTTGCCTTTATCGACATCTTGCTTTATTTTCAATACATTTTACACTTTTCTATTGCCCACTGAATCAATCCACTAACATAGATATATTTTCCAATAGTAATCACACCAGAAGTGTAGTTTGGGCATCATTGCACTCGCATTATAACTTCATTGCCTTCTACTTGTGTTGTATTTTTCTTACAAACAGGTGATCCACGGTCACTGGACCATGTATAAGATAGACTCTAGAGTGTCGAGAAACGTCGTACAGATTTACCAGCACGCTGGTTACAACAAAACACCCGACGTGGCAGATCTGAGTGTGCTACAAGTATGATAATATCGCGAAGAATAGTATAATTTTAATACATTTTTGATTAATTGGTTATTTTAATCTACACTCACCTGTTTATTATACTTAATATAGAAAAACGGTTCCTGCGGTTGTATGCTACGATAGTAATTTCCGTTTTTGGGAGTCCTCGATGAGTTTACTACCTTTTTAAGTTTTCATCTAATAGATGATATGGGTTTCCTCGCTTCTATTACTATAATAACTATTAATATCCACGCGCTTACCGCAACAGGACAACTTTGATTGTCAGCTTACGATTAATTTACACTGAGGAATGATTTTAGTTCTGTTACTTGGATCTAAAAGGACCAATGTTATTTTTGGCATGAACTCTAACCAGCTAGACATGAAAATTAAAATATACTTGTAGAAAATAGCATTCTCGAGGCAAAAATTAAATAAGTTATGAAGCGTTATGTAAACAAATTAATACCGAGCCTCGTAGTAAATAAAAACTTAAATTTTCCGAAAGTTGCAAGAAGTGAGATTGGCCCTTTTAGACGCAAGATACAGAATTATATGAGTTAATAAGTTATGTTGTTTGCTCGCTGTTTCGCGTTTAGATCAGTTCGCCGTTTCGTGACGTAAGCCATTACATCAGTTTGGGGGGACAACCCTCAGATTTTTATTATAAAAAGCTCAACTGCGAGATCATTGGATTCGGTCGAGTAGATCGTGGAAAGTATCCGCAAGTCTATGGCTATAAGATTAATGTTTCCGTTAATCACGGACCTAATATGTGTATAAAACGAAATATCAAGTATGTAAACTATATAAATACACAATTAGTAAATAATGCATGTATACGGTATTAGTGACTCCAACACATGCGAGACATAAAAGACAGTTGAAAAATGATGCAGAAGCGATGAGAAATCATTGGAGAAGGAAAGTTATTTCTCTTGAGATTACTTAAGCGTAAAAGATGTGTCAGACTCAACCCGTTTACCGTTAGGATGAATAACGGTAAAGATAATACTGGGAGACTGTGTGATTATGAGGACGAGGATTTTAAAGAGTAATATGGTTTGGTGTGGCATAAGGTTTATACGAATAAGAAGTTTAGTAGTTAAATTACACAATGATTGTCAATGCTGTTTTTGTGCAGATATCATATGGATTACTCCAATTGGCAACACATTTTATGCGCAGAATCCAAAAACAGTAGTTTGACTTGTACCGATGAAAGTGGCGGTCCATTGATATGCCATGGAAAACAGTACGGTGTGATGAAAGACATGTACAACTTGTTAGGAGGTAACGAGACGACATGTGATGATCCAAACATGCGAACTAGGCACGTGTTTTTGTACATGTATACCGAGTGGATATCCGAGATCACCGGTGTCTATTATGACAACCTAGCCACATCGACGATAATCCGACGTCGCCACGACGATGTGATTGCTTTTGTGTTTTGCACAAGTTTATACTTCATATTTACGGCGTATAAAATTTAATCCAAATTAAATCGATAATTTAAAATTTCAACAGTTAAAGGTGTATACTTAGTTATGATTTTTCAAGAGCATCGGTCTTTAGGTTAAGAAGTCTAAGTGGTACACAAACACTCCATGTATTTTTATTTTGTTTAAATATTGGTCGGCCTAGGATTTATTATCAATAAGGATTAAACATATCATCTATTCATACAACTATGCATTATAGTCAAAGGAGAGCTGGATTTTAATTCTCCAAAACCAATTAGATTTAAATTCTCAGTCAAACTTTCGTCCATTGATACATCAAACGATTAACTTTGTTAAAACATATTATGAGTTGCTCCTAATTTGTTTCAGGTGTAGGTATATTTACTATTCGTATGTAATAATATATAAATATCGAATTATCAATTAATTATAATAAGTATTTTATAAGACTGAATGCACTATTTATAAATTGTAATATCACAATTATTTTAAATAAAACCAAACGCATATGGACCGAGTAAGCCAATAAGAAAGAGAATCATATACATTAGAGTATATTTGTACATGGGGACCTATCACAATTTCTCCCACTAAAACACGGAAGAAGACGCTTATAAAAATACCGTAAATCGTAATTTTGTTTTTGGGGGGATATTTGTAGTTTATTTAGGTTAAAGTATTTGCAGAGCTCCAAATTACTATTCCATAGGTCTATAGAGATTTAATTAAGAGTTAGTACAAAATTAGTTTTGTATGAAGTGATAGCTTTGATTTATAGTGTAGGAAACGTTTAAGTATTTGCAAGCGGCCGTTCTGTTTTAGTTTGATGAAAAGGATGGAATGAGTCCAAGTAATTTGTTGGTTTAAGTAAACTCCTAGATATCTGATAGTTTTGACTGGCGGTATTATTACTTTGTTAAGTAATGACATGTAGGCAGACACCTTGCTTGAGTGTGAAGATTATATGACAGGACTTGGATTTATTTAGTTTAAGCCGACATGCCAAACTCGATCGAATCCTTGATCATTCCAAGCATTGGACGAAAAGTTTTCAGGTGAGGCACATTTGTAAAGGGGATGATAGGACATTTGTAACTTAATTTTTTCAAACACCATTTTATAACTAAAGTAAAGATAACACACATATAACCATTAAAAAAAATAATTTTCATTACGGTAACAAGCACAACAATTAACATCTACTTAACCCCTTTGCCACCATATTTTATTACGTGGAAATATTTTCAAAATTTTCTCAACATTTAATAGTTGTCCTAAAAATACAGAAGTTTCTTAATTTCGGGTATATGTCATTACCTGAACAAAACAATATGCTTTCCTTTAAATTGCAAATACAAACTACCTAATAACAATTACACTGTTAGATAAGGACCGGGAACGCCTGTTATATTGAGTGATGAGTACACCAGTGTATTCAAGTAAAGACCTTGATTATATACCTATATATATATATATGTAAAAAAATGGGTTGAAATATATAAAGTATGAACTACCAAGCAGTTTCTAAACTTGATAAATTTGATAAATAAAAATGTTGTTTTGAGCGCAAAAAATTGATAAATTCTTATGTTATAATTAAATACAAACGATGGTACTTTTAAAATTTATAATTTTTTTTAAATTTTACAATCATTGTTTAATTACTTTTGGCTCGCTATTACTCATTCAGATCGAAAAAAATACAACTTGCCCGCTCAGTGATAGAATGGCGAAAAACGCAACTATGGTAAAATATTGTCGGTTGGTAGGTGCATTATCGAAGTAATCGTCGTAGTACTCGTTCTGCCCGTTTGTTATTTTATCGATCCATTCTCTGTGCCAATACAAGAATATATGCCTGGTCTGCACATTTGGGTCACCACATATTGTTTTGTTGAAATACTTGAAATTGTAACCGTCCTTGACTGTACCGTATAACTTGTCATTGCAGATCAAAGGTCCGCCGCTGTCACCTTGACACACACTTTTCTTATTGGGTTTTGCGCAAATATAGTTCTTCCAACCGCCTGCCATTAATACCAAAACACTTATATCCACGAGTTTGTTGATATAACTACGACAAATGTCGTTTTCAGTGTTTTGTAGACGAAAATAGTCTTTTATCGTCCGGATTATTCATATTATAAAGAGCAACAGGAAATGACTAGACTTTATTATTATCCGATAATGTAAAGAGGCTATAGCAATGAATTACAAGATTTAAATTCGTATTGCGAATTAAAGTCAAGTCGCTTAGTATACAAACGTTTTTATTTAAAAATAGAGGCTGTGGTAGGAATTAAAAGCCTTTTAGGTTTAAGAAGAAGATGATACGAACGACAACTTTTTTAAGTACCGGTTTTGTGCTGTTTATTGAAGGCAATTTTGATATTGAAAAAAAAATGTAGCTACCGGTACGATTAAGGGTCTGATATAGTCTGTGAAATATTATAATATTGTCTAGGTTAAAAGGAAATTAAATTTATTATAACTTTCATGGTTTTAAATAATATAAACTTTATAATCTTCGAATGTATCAATGTCTTTGATTTGTTGCTGACGTTTTGGACTCATTGCAGAGTATAGTCGCTGCAGTGGAACAGTAACTATCGCTTCGATGACAGACTCTACATGAGTCCAAAACGTCAGCAGCAAATTAAAGACAAGGATACATCCGAAAATTATCATACATAAAAGGAAAAATATTAAATAAAGCCGTCAATATTGGTATTTTACGAAATTATTTAGACAAAATTGAAGTAAGTGAAATCGGTTCGAAGATAAAATCGGTAAGCTTAGGGAGTTGTAAGAAAAAAACGTTGGCTGATTATGTATTACAGCTGTAGAATAGCCGCTTGAATAAAGTGATGCTGCAAAGGCAGATGATTGAGGTGTTATTCATCGCTCGCGTGGAATAAAAAGCTAATCGAATAGTTTTCAAGTACACTGAATTAATTGATTTAAGCTCACCTCCTGGGAGAGGCTTAGCGCATGCATTCGGCCCGTATCCAGCCACCACATCTGTTTGGAACCCATTCCATTTAGCAGCTTGCGGACCTTCTCGTTGACCGAATCCAATGACGACACAATTAACAGTTCTGCCATTTGCAAATTCTTCTGGTGTTCCGCCGATCACTGCGAAGGAGTCAAACCCTTTCCACTCGGATGTCATCTACGTGCAGTCCGTACAAAGCCAGGTGTTATATATAGCAGCCTTAATTAAAGAAAAATATCTAGAATACAATTTCCTATTAGCAAAAATATTCACCATTTTGACATTTTCATGTCTTAGCTTTGGCACATAACCGAAAAAAGCGTTTCTTACAAAAGCATATCTGATAAGAGATTAGAGATAAGTTATTAGAAATGAGAGAGGTGGTTGGGGTTAGGGGTGGGAATTAGCTTGGTGGTAGGGGATGGGAGGAAGGGATATAGGTAAGAGATAAGTGGTAGGAGATAGAGGGTAGGGGAGAGGGGGTATGAAATAGAGGTAAGACATGTAAATGCTTTTTCGTGGTTGCAGACTTAAGCTGAAAAATGATTTTTGACAAGAGGTGAGACTGATAAATATTGAAGTTATATACCTCAATTTTTTTTATAAAACTATTAGTTACAGCTTGCACTGTTGATTATATTATAATACAGATAAGCCAGAATTTTGGTGGCAGCGGCTAACGTGTTGGTAGATTAGTGCAAGTTAAGATGGCTATGTGTATATTATAAATACCAACTATATTTGGTTGGGAAAATCCGCCAGAGCAATTGTTTAATTAACTTTAAAAATACGTTATTTCAAAATGTATACTTTATATTACAATATTAATGAAACACGATATTTCCCTATATTTAATGTGATCTGTGTCTAAATTGAATGAATCTTTCAAGAATTCAGACCTTATTTGGATGTGATCTTTAAAATAACCCGGATACTTGGGGACTAATTCGGATGCAGCTGTGAAATATGCTTAGAGAAATGTGGAGATACCAAAGACATTATCCCATATCATCAATGTAGACAACAACCTAGATGAAGTAAACACTTTCAGAAACTCTAAAAAATTCTTCTAGTTTTCAATGATATATACCAGGACCCAATGACGTGAGTTAACCGTGACTCGCCCCCCCCCAGTTCTAGCGTACTACCCGTTTAGTTGTGATTCGTGTGTATACTTCTAACAGACATAAGTCCGACGTTGTGTGCGGCCGCTTATAATCCTCGTGCTGGTGGATGACCAGCACATCTCTCTTCAGATCTTTATTTCTCCATGATTTAGTGATATGGCCGCGGTACACCTGTTCTGGCAATTACGATCCGGAATGTATATAAATCACACAACTGCATTATTACTACCCGCTTTATGGGACTTACCTTTAAGTCTTTGGCGGCCATTCCCCACGAACAGTGGGCGGCAGTCAATACGAACAGCGGTTGGATTAGCGATCCAGTACATAAGGAAGAAGTGCCTCTCACGTATATTATGTAGGGATACTTCACGTCATCGTACACAGTGCCGTGGGATACCAAGTCATTTTCATTGTCGTTGCTTTGATTGGCGCTAACTCTGGGGACGTTAGCTGCAGTTGTCATGATCGTTACAAGGCAGAGCCAAAGCCACGTACGCATATACCCAAGCATCGTAATTAAAGGATTTAGCGGTAAATTTTTATATGTTTGGCGATCATTTTAAACGTACGATTTTCTATATTGGATTAATCACAACCGGTTGTTATTTACATAAAACCCTTTTTGAAAAAATAATTTTAATCAAAATAACACCAACAAATATAATATTTATAACAATAAAAGTTTTTATTTGGCCAACAGTTTTTTTCGTTTATACCTTGTAACAGCTGTGATGGACTGCATTATTCCGTTGTGTCGACCAGTGCATATTGAACAACAAAAATATTCCTAAATCGTGCTAACCTTTTTTAAATAGTGTATTTTATATGTAGACAGCAATAAGTTTGGTACAAAATATATTGTATTACCTAAAATGCTAAAATACACAATTTTATCTGTAATGAGGGATTATTATTATTGTCATCCCTATATTTTCATCAAAAATACTTAATAATTTTATTTGTTCTTTGGATTTTGGATGCAATTGGTATTGAGTAAAAATTGAAGTAGTTTTTGTCTTCCGGCTTGGACTTTTCTCTGTTGTCGTGTACATAACTGAAGTAATTAATCTGCAGTAATATATTATTTTTTACTGTCTTGGTACGAGACGAATGTATACTATATTTTACTTGTTTTATTATTATTCGGTATAAACGACTAAAAATATTAAGTTGGTACACGATTTATGTTTCGAACAATAAATATTTGGATAAATTATGTTACGTATTCTTAACAGTTTATTGTATACTTTAACATATTGTTTATTAACCATTTACCTAGAACACTTAGGAAAACCAAATTCACAATTGAAATAAGGTTAACTTATGTTTTGGCAAAATATTCAAGAAAAAATGAGTTTTAATCAATGTTTCTAATCAATTTCTGAAATGTTTCTAAACATAAAAATGTTGTTTTAAACACAAAAAACTGATCAATTCTTATTTCGTAATTAAATACCAACGATGGTAATTTTAAAATTTATAATTTTTTTTAAATTTTACAATCATTGTTTAATTACTGTTGGTTTGCTATTATTCATTCAGATCGAATAAAATACAACTTGCCCGCTCAGCGATAGAATGGCGAAAAACGCAACTATGGTAAAATATTGTCGGTTGGTTGGTGTATTATCGTAGTAATCGTCGTAGCTATCACCGTTTATTTGATTATCGATCCATTCTCTGTAGTAATACAAGAATATATGTCTGGTCTGCACATCTGGATCGCCACATACTGTATCGTTGTTATACTTATAATTATAACCGTCCTTGACTGATCCGTATAACTTATCATTGCAGATCATAGGTCCGCCGCTGTCACCTTGACACACCATTTGTTTATTGGGTTGTGCGCACAAAAACTTCTGCCAACCGTCTGCCATTAATAACCAGAACATTAATATCCACGAGTTTAAATACGATGAATGTCGTTTTCAATGTTTTGTAGACGATATCGGACCTCGTTCATGCAAAACACATAAGTCCAAAATCGTATTTTTTCGTCCAGATTATTCATATTATAAAGAGCAACAGAAAATTACTTTACTTTATACTTATAATTACCCGATAATGTCAAAGAGGCTATAGCAATGATTTACAAGACTTTAATTCTTGTTACGAATTAAGTCAAGTAGCTTAGTATACAAACGTTTTTATTTAAAAGTAGAGGGTGTGGACTGTGGGAGGAATTAAAAGTCTGTTAGGTTTGAAGAGAGCATGATAAGAAACGACAACTTTTAGAAGTATCGGTTTTGTGTTGTTTATCGAAGGTAATTGTGATATTGAAATAAAAATGTAGCTGGCGGTACGATTATGGGTCTGAGATATTCTGTAAAATAAAATAAACACGGATACATCCATAAATTTATCAAATTGATAAAAGGGAAAATATTGAAAAAGCCGTCAATATTGGGATTTAACGAAATTATATACACAAAATTGGAGTAAGTGGAATCGGTTCGAATATAAAATCGGGTAGCTTAGGGAGTTGCACGAAAAGAACGTACGGTGATTATGTATTATAGCTGTAGAATTTCAGCTTGAATAAAGTGATGATGCCAAAGCAGATGATTGAGATTTTTTTTTACCACTCATGTGGAATTAACAGCTAATCGAATAGTTTTCAAGTACACCGAATCAATTAATTAAGGCTCACCGATTGCCCAAGGCTGAGCGCATGCATTCGGCCCGTGTCCAGTCACCACTTCTGTTTGGTACCCATCCGATTTAGCAACTTGCTGCAATTCTCTTTGACCAAATCCAATGACGACACAATTAATAGTTCTGTCATTTGCAAATTCTTCTGGTGTTCCGCCGATCACTGCGAAGGAGTCAAACCCTTTCCACTCGGATGTCATCTACGTGCGGTCCGTACAAAGCCAGGTGTTATATATAACGGCCTTAATTAAAGAAAAATATCTAGAATACAACTTCCTAATAGCAAAACTTTTCACCATTTTTGACAAGGGGTGAGAACGATAAATATTGGAGTTAGTTGTAAATATATACCCCAGTTATTACAAATAAGCCAGAATTTTGTTAAAAGTTGTAGCGGCTAACGTGCATCTAAGGTGGTAAATTAGTGCAAGTTAAGATGGCTATGTGTATATTATAAATACCAACTATATTTAGTTAGGAAAATCCGCCAGAGCAATTGTTTAAGTAACTTTAAAAATAAGTTATTTCAAAAATTTATACTTTATATTTCAATATTAATGTAGTAAAATACGACATTTCCCAATATTTAATGTGATCTGTGTCTAAATTGAATGAATCTTTCAAGAATTCAGACCCTATTTGGATGTGATCTTTAAAATAACCAGGATACATAGGGACTAATTTGGATGCAGCTATGAACTATGCCTAAAGAAATGTGAAGAGATCGAGAAATAATAAGATCTAAGTCATTATCCCATATCACTAATGTAAACAACCTAGGTGAGGTAAACACTTTTAGAAACTCTACAAATTCCCCTAGTTTTCAGTATTCGATGATGTATACCAAGATTCAGTGTCGTGAGTTCACCGTTACTCGCCCCCCCAGTTCTAGCATACTACCCGTTTAGTTGTTATTCGTGAGTATACTTCTAACAGACTTATGTCCGGCGTTTGGGTTGATGGCGTATAACCTTCGTGCTGGTGGATGACCTGCACATCTCTCTTCAGATCTGGGTTTCTCCAAGATTTGGAGACATGGCCGCGGTACACCTGTTTTGTCAATCACGATCCGGAATGTATACAAATCACACAACTGCACCATCACCAACTATATGGGACTTACCTTCATGTCTTTGGCGGCCATTTGCCACGAACAGTGGGCGGCGGTCAACACGAACAGCGGTTGGATTAGCGACCCAGTACACGTGTGAGCAATGCCTCTCACCATTATTACATATGGATACTTAACGTCATCGTACACAGTTCCGTGGGCTACCAAGTCATTCCTATCGTCGATGCTTTGATTGACACTAACTCTGGGGACGTTAGCTGTAGATGTCATGATCGTTACAAGGCAGAGCCATGGCCACGTACGCATATACCCAAGCATCGTAATTAAAGGGTTTAGCGGTAATTTTTTTCATGTTTGGTGATCATTTTTAAACGTACGATTTTCTATATTGGATTCAATCACAACCGGTTTTTATTTACATAAAACCCTTTTTGAAAAAATAATTTTAAGCAAAATAACACCAACAAAAATAATATTTATAACAATAAAAATGTTATTCGGCCAACAGTTATGTTCGTTTATACCTTGTAACAGCTGTGTTGGACTGCATTATTCCGTTGTGTCGAACAGTGCATATTAAACAACAAAAAAATTCCTAAATCGAGAAAACCTTTTTTAAAATATGCTTTTTTTATGTAGACAGCTATAAGTTTGGTACAAAATATATTGTATTACCTAAAAAGTAAAAATACACAATTTTATCTCTAAAAAGGAATTATTATTATCATCCTTTTTATTTCTCAGAATTGCTCAAATGTTTATGTTCTGGCAAAACATTCAAGAAAAAATGAATTTAAAATTAATGTTACACTATAATAAATCATATTTCAAAATGTTTGTCCCAAGTCATCTTCAAGCTATCAAAATTTACAACATAGTTTTTTTATACGATAATATAGTATCAATAATACAGAGGGGCCCATATTTAGACTTTAGTCATAAGTGGAATTTTAATGGGAACATCTGGTTATGTAATATCCCAACTTACAGATTAAAATTGTTATTTGTTTACCTAACTTACATGATGATAATAATAATGATGCTAATTATTGATCCACAATATCATGCAAAATTCTCTTACCAATCGGTATACCACTCAACATTTAAAAAACGTCAACTATAGAGAAAAGTCCAATCATTTTTTTGGAAAATTAAATTTTGAGTGATAAATAATTTTTTAGAGAATTTACAAACATTTTAAGACAGATAATGTGTATATATAAAAAAATAAATATGAATTCAAATTTTTTATAGTCAGTTTTTTCTAAGATAACTATAGTCTTCTACAGTTTAAATTAAAGCCTTGTAATGAGTGGTATTTTATTATTATTTATTAATATTTTAATATAATGTATTCATTTCTACAGATTAATTAGGTTTTGAACACTACAACTGCTAATATTATTTAGTTATTATTGAAGAGCCCAATTTAAAAAGAATAATACTTTAATTAATAACTAGAAGTGTATATTGGAGAAATAGTTATTAGGTTATAATTGTTTTGATGTTAGGTAGAAATATTACATTAGGTAGTTATTGCTATATTTCATTCACCGTTAAAACAATACCATACAACAAATTTACTTTAATGTTTAACTGTCATTTGCCTAAAATTCACTTGAAAGTTATTTAGTATATAAAAATTGTTGTTTTTAATTATCATTTTGCACAGTTTTAGATTCAACCCCCTATAAAATATTAACTTATAATAAATTGAAGACCGATACAAAAAAAAAAAGAGTACATTGATTTTCTTAATTAATCGATTAAAACATTAAGATATTAGAAATATGAGATACTATAGTTATAAATAATATCTTTTAAAAGTTGTAACACTTTTTTTGTATTTTTCACACTATTAATCATACCAACACTATGTGTTAAAATTGTATTTTAAAAAAATTAAAAAATGAATATTTAACAAAATTATGATTGGACACAATTTTTGAAATACGGATAAACATTTTGAAACGATTGATTTTGATGTTAATGGAATAGAATTAGTTTTAATTAACATGAAATAATTCAAAACAACAGTGTTGTTTAAATGGTACGTTAGTTTATATTTTACTTAGTATTTAATAAATAATTTGTATATTTAGATAGTGGTTTATATGAAAAATAAAATAGAATGTTGATAATAATTTAAATCGCTTATTAAGAACAATTTTACGTAAATTTTCATATACATCAAAATATATTTATATAAAAATTAAATTGAAACACTTGATACAAGCAAAACCATATAAATTAAAATTATTATATTTTAAAGGCACATTTTAAACATGTTTTCTTACAAACAAATTACGATTTCCAAAAATTTGGATTTAAATTTAATTTTCGTTCAAAATTTTCATACCACTTTTGTATTGTTACTAATGGTACCATAGGACATTGTTGAGGACCAGCGTCGATTGCATAACTACTTACAAAGTTAAACAAGTTCTGTACCATTTTTTGCGTGAACTCAACGAATAAGGACACATTTTGTATGTTTTCAGTATGGGCCACCTGCGCTTCAATATCCATCAGAGGTTCAATGGAGATACCAATTTGAGCATTTATTGTTACAGATGGAAATTGACTAAAAGCATTTGATGGTTGATTTGTTAAATCTATGTGTTGTTTAAGGTTTGAAAGTTTGTATATAGCAGATGGTTTTTGATTTGACAATGTGCCCAACAACTGCCAGTTTGGCCGTGCGTGTTCATCAGGCCAACTAAAGTAAACTGAAAAAATAAATTAAACTAAATAAATAATTAATAAAATTAATAAATAATACATTTTAAAATAAAAACCTGACAAAAAGAAAATAGTAATTTTGGTAATAAAAATAGTCGTCATTTCAAAATTCTAAAACATTTGAAATGATTAGAAAAAAGAGGTTGTATTGGGCCGACTAAGCGTGATGGATTGAAAATATTATTCTATAGGTGGTAATAGAGAAAAAAAATCGGGAGGAAAGAACGCTTAGAAGACCAAAATTAAAATGAGTGGATCATGGATGTATTTAAGAAGGACAAGGAGGAGGTCTGAATTGAAAAGAACGAGAAACACATAGAGTAGAAAGAAGGATATAGTGAGAGATAAGATGTCTCTAATGTCTATAACCTAAAGAATAAGCAGAAATAATTCAGCTAGGCACTCAATCGGTTGATTACAAAAAGGTTAACAAAATGTATAGTCTTTCAATTTTTATTCTGATCATAGTTTAAGAAAAACTGTTTATCAGTTTTATAAATGTTTGATTAAATTAATATGCCAACCGTGCATAACAGTAAAGTATAATTTTATAAATGTAATAACTAATAATATCATTTAGCTCAGTTCAGTGGACACATTATAGCTGACCAGTTATTAGAGTTTAACTGCATTGATCACTGTTTATACCCAGTTGAGTGACTACCATGCTGTCAAACAACTAATTAAGCAATATTTTATTAATATATACCTATCTGTTCTTATAAAGTATATAAATTTCAAGAATAAATGAAAAATTCAAATAAAACATGCATACCAAATCCGGCGGTTCCTTCAGGAAACGGAATGAGCCCAGTCAAAAAGACACAAATATAATTGACAGATTCAGCCGATTGAATATTAATCATAAATTTAGTTTCTTCAAGTCGTTCAAAATCCGTACGAACCTAAAATTGTTTTAAATATTGTAATAGTATAGATAAAATTGATGTAATATAATAATTTAAGGGGATTCGATATCGGCCGTTTTTTTCAGTCAATACTCATCATTTTTTGTCCATTGCTCAGGCCGAACCAGTAATCCGATAAGTAATTTGAAAACATATTTGAATTTGTCATGAAGTTTACTTGAGATCATACGAGGCACTTTTTTCAAATAAACCCTTTACAAATATGATTTTAAAATTTGAAATTTTATAAAATGTTTAAACGTTTCTTATTCATAGTAAGAAAAATATATTAAAAAAGTACATCATAGAATCCAAAATAAACTTCATAAAGAAATCAAATTTGTTTTCAGATTACTAATCGGATCACTGCTTCGGCCTGTGTGATGGACAAAAAATGTACTATTATATTAACTAAAATGGCTTTTACTCATAGACAATATGATTTAAATTAAAAATAATACGATAAAGCTTATACAAATTAACTGGTAAATTAATTGATATGGTCGCATTTTATTTAAACCACTTTTTTCTTATATACTGCCTATACAAAACTCCTTACAAATGGTCGGTATCGAATTCCCTTAATATTAAAATATTATATACATTTACAATTTAAGCCATTTGTTAGTAATTACTGTCACTTTAATGATAGCAATTCTTTTACTATTTGAATGCATAATTAATAGAATTATAATGCTAGAAATGCTAAATGTATATAAAGATGCACAATAGATAAACCATAAAATAGGAATACTAACACCATGCCACATATAGTCTTTTGATAACATATGAACGTAACAATTGTATGGTTAGTATAGGATTAGGTCTAAAATATTATACATTTTTTTTTATTAAAAACATTTACTACATTTACATGCAAAGTTAAACACTGCTTAAAGTGGTTTAATCATGTATTACATAGGCATCTAAAATCCACCTAAAGAAAATAAAACCAATTCAATTATATTATAACTATTATTTTGTTCCCCGGGAATATTATAAAATTGAGTTTTGTTCGTTTGATTTACCTAGTTAAATAAATCAGTAATATATACTTCAACTAATTAAATAAAACTACTTTATATCAAAAAAAGGTTTATGTACTTTCATGTTCATAAGTTATTCACATATTTGTTTTTGAATACACTTACCAGTCGTCCACTTACTAGTAAGCCGAACATACTTTGAGTTGCATCTCCCATGTTTGTTATGCTATGCGTATGTGATCGAAATGCAGTATTGGAAAAAATCACTTAATTATTGAAAAAAACTTACAAAAAAAGTTTTACAAAATAAAATTAAATTGAAAACTTTTCAAGAATTGAAATATTAGAAAAAAAATGCTAATTAAGTTTGGCATAGAACACAATTCTTGAGCGGTACAGCTTATAAATGTTTTGCTAGAATTTAAAAAAATAACAGCTTACTTATAACGTTTCAAAAATCAAACGGTTTAGGAATTCATTTAACAAGTCGTGGTTTTCCTTCAGGACTAGTAAAAAATAATCGGTGTAATACATCATAACTATGATAAGTGATAACAATCGGTTGTGAATCGTGATAAGAACACAGGACGCAAGACGGATTGTCGACAACGCCGTTATCATTGACCAAAACGGCGCCAAATTAATAATTTAAAAAAAATCAATTAAAAAAATTTCTAGAAACTTTAAATTTAAATAATACTCAAGAACTGTTAAAAAAAATGCATATTGCTGGGATGCACAAAAGGTAGATAATAGGTAATGGTGGTTCATAAAAATGTTTATATCTTCCAAAAAGTATTTTGCTGGTTACGTCTTTAAAAGTGTTTTTGCTACCAATTATTATTTTGAAAAAAATTTTTTTTTATAAAACATTATTTGTAGTAATAGATAACTAGATGAACATTGACGATAATTTATTCAAATTTCAGTGGGATGGTAACATATTTAACTTTAATGTAAGCTGTACAGGCTTCGACCACATCCCATCCACACGAGTAATCAACAGTCTACATTATAGTATACCGTAGAACACGTTTTTAAAAATTATGATTCCAATAAAAATATAATAACCTAATTTAGATGCATTATATAGTTTCAAACAATATTTTATAATTAAATTAAATTGCATTTATCTTCATACTATTATTCTGTTTCTTTCAGCAAATGTATTAATAATTTCTAAGCTGTCAACATTTTTCCATCTATAATTATGATCTATAATTATTACATTTTTGGACGTTTAAAAAAATAGTATTTTTTTATTTGAATAAATTATATATTAAATTTAATGAAAAAGTATGATATCGTGTTAATAAATGTATAAGATTAATGGACAGTACGTTCGTCTAAAAACCATCATCTCACGATAGCACCGTCGGGCCTTCAAGGCCTGTGAAATTTGCATGATGATGATATCATAATAAATATAATATAAGCAAAATCATTAAACATTTAAACTTTAACATTACTTAAATATTATAAATCTATAATACAATATCAAAAGTATGTGTTGAAAGAAAAACCAGTAAACCCCAATTGCTCATTAAACCCCATTAATACCCATTTGAAACCCATTAAAACTCATTAAACCCCGACCTGGCTGTTTTTTTTAAGTTCGTAGATGTTTTGAACCTTGCTATTATACCTACATGTTAAAATATTTACGTGTCTGGTGTCACCGTTAAATAAGATTTCTGAGGATAATTATCGCTGGATATTATGTTATACCAATATAGTTTAATCTGTGTAAAAACAGTGCATAATATTATAATAAATAACTTGTATATAGTTGCAATATTTCCCTTCGGTATTGAGTGCGAAACAGCGTAGCATATTCAAGACATTAAGCTATTTGCATATTTAATGGTAGATTGAATATTTTGCAACATTTTAGTTCTGGTAAAAAAAACAGTAACAGTAGAAGGACGAAATTTTCTGGGCACACACTCGTGCTTCGTGCGGAAGGTGAAGGTCTTGAAAATGTGAAATCTGTGGTTCGATTATGTTATTTATGATAAGTTATATTTTTAACTATTGATGAATCAAATAAAACAATACAATATTGTATCTGTGTATTTTATATCTGCCTATACGTTTTCCTTTTCTTCTTCGCCTTCATCTTAACTATTTGGGGTCAACCATTCTTGTAAAAGTTTAGGGCCTCCCCTCGACATGATCCCCCACATCAGCAAATACCAGCAGTCCTTGTATAATTTTCGATCGTATCCAACTGCCTTTTTTCGACCTTCCTTTTCCATTTTTTCTTCTTACGTTTCTTTCCCATAGGATTACCATTCTTTCTGCTTCCTATTATTTTCTCCTCTCCTCTTGTATGTGTACATTAATTTTTGAAATTTTATTTCGTCCTATATTAAGCTCTCGAGGCTATATGGTTGTTGCCGGCATGTTTTGTCACCCTTAACTATCCCTAATTCAAGTATAATGTACACTGGCCTTTGAGTCCCAGCTGTGGCGTAGCTAATTTTCAAAAGTCCTAGATTAATTAATTAATAAAGAATAAACATTTTTAAAAAACCTTAGCCACAAAAAATAATACACTTTAGCGTTAACTCGTATTTCGATAGCAATGCCATTATCATCACCGCTCACAATAACAGCCTGAGTCGCACTCACCTCATCAAAATATGATAAATGGTTCACTCAGTAAACCAGCGCTTAATATTTAAACGATGATACCCACCACCAGTCATATTATTTATACTTTTATGTGCGAGTAAAGACATGACGATGGCCAAAAGGAGGTGGTATGCGGTTGAGTAAGCGCGCAGATAAAAATAATAATATACTAGGTACCATTAAGTTTCAAATGTAGATAGAGCTCTGGAAAATACTAAAAAAAAAATTGAATACTGTGTCTACTATTGTGAAACGACATAAACTAAAGTGTCTCCAAAAAGAAGAAACCAGTTATAAGATTTTTTGACGTTTTCCCAAAACACAAAAAAAACAAATAAGAAGTTTAGATATACTCTACCCTTTTATAATCAATATCAAATAAAAGCTTAGGAGTCCATTAAAATAGTGTGTAAAAATGTATTATATAAAATAATTATTTCAAAAATTATTTTGTTAATGCTGAATTTTTAATCAAATTTTAATATACTGTTGGTTATACATGTCATAATTATTACGGTATTTAAATAAGAAATTTAATTTACTGTTTAAGTGGTTTTGAAACAAACATTGAAATTAAAATTACGGAAAATACAAATTTCAGACCTTTGACCTTTCGCGAATGTGATAAAAGTGCATTTATTAAGGCGATTGTATAGGAAATTATTAAATACAATTTAACATTAACCCAACTTTGTTAACATATAATATATTAACACAGGTAAGAGGGACGTCCTATTTTTATGTTTCATTTTTTTTCAACTTCTATAATGCATACAGGCTTTATTTTTGTACAAAAACATATGTTTCTATTTTCAACAATCCAAATTCCCTTTTTATTCAATTTAAATTCTGAAAAAAGTTTGCTAATAGCCGAACAACCCTAATCTTACGATCACTAAGTTTCACTTAGTATCACCCCGATACTAAAACTATAATTGCAAGTGTTAGTTTTATGCTTACACACAATCCTCAGCTTCGACAATTTACCACGTATTACAAATTGAATCAACATTTTTTAACACATTTGTAGGAACTATAATAGTTTTAACTTCAACACTAAAACCTAATTGTGATAAATTAAACAAAGATTTTATTTGTAATTTAGCTGACAGTTTTTTATTTTTGAAAAATTGTATGTTGAATAATTATTGATTACCATGTATCGTAGGGTTCTCATAAGATTAGGTTGGTTTTTTTAAAAAGAGTGTGGACCGTTAAAGAGCTGTGGTCCGGTCTACTCAGCTAACGTGAAATCCGGGTTTACACGATTCACTTTAAATAATCAGTAGTCTTTTATAGACTACTTAATCATTTCGGGTAAATTCGTTTTTTTATTAATAACGTATACATCTAAATCATCCAAATCGATCAATCAAACTGAATCGAGTAAACCTGATTTTAACTACGACTCCAAATGACTTTCAATGTTGTCACTTGTCTACCTTGTAAGTATTGCGATCTTTGTTTTGTTTTCCTTGTAGCATGCACACATAAAATATAAACAACACAAAAATGGATTACAGGAAAATTATGTTTAATTAAATACATATATATATATATACATATTAATATTACGTGTGTGTAATGGACTTAGATACATAAGAAAATCGCATTTTGGCGGGTTTTTAAACCGTCACCAATCGATTGTCACCACACGAATCTAGACCCGCGGTTTTGTTTAGTGTTCCGGGAGTGGACGCAATGTCTGATTTTAGTACACAGAATCGCTGTGATTGACATCTTTACTCATTAAAACACACCGTTCTTGACCAAAGGTTTTAGGGTCTGCGTTGGTCTAATTTCAGAATGTTGTGTGCAAGCTGACTATTATAGAAGAATTAAAAAAATAAAACAAAAGATAATTATTATTGTAAGGTTCGAAGAAGGTCGTAGTTTGTTCTTATAGTAGCCGTAGGCAATGCAACTGATAAGTATATTGGTGTAAGTAAAATGTAAATAGTTCCTTGACACAGTATACCGTACATATGGATAGATCTTGAGTAAAATATTATAAAGACAGGAAACATTTGTTACTGCATGTTGTTGTTTGTACAGTGTAAGATACGGAAATTAAGAAATAATCCTAGTCAGGCATTGTGTTGGTTGTGTCATTCGACGACTGTAGGATAGGCGCGGCAGTTTCTCACTGAAATTACCCGTCGGATGATTTGGTAATAAATAAAAAATATATAATTAAAAAATATATATAAAAATAATATAATTATAACACACACATAATACGTTGCTCGAATTTGAAACGGTGCAATTAACTAACATAATACCATTCGGATAGGTAATACATATTGTCATTGACAGAAAACACTGAAAGTTTAAATTAATGTAAATTTGTTATTTTCTATATATTTTTTGGCAAAAAATTAAATCTAAAAATTCAGCTATTTAAACAACACTGACTTCAAGTTTTATGGATTTAGTATCCTAAATCTCCTAAATTTTCACCAATGCTGTCAACTCCAATTTCTTCAAAAATAACATCCACACATTTATTTTTGGTCTAGTTCTATACCTCTTTTTTTTTAAGCAAAAAACCTCTAGTCTTGCTAATAATTCTCATTACTGAAATCCCTCTTGCGCGTTATACCAATAAACTAAAAAAATGTTCAACACTTCCAAACCATTTCAATATATTCTCTTTCAACTTACTTATGGTAATTGCTATCAATGAAACTCCCAAACAACCTCGTTCATACCTTCATATTTGTATAGGCGACTGCAGTCCGCCGAAATATTAAATAAATCTATTACTAAAAGAGGGCTTTAAAATATTTTCTTTCAAGTAAAGCTCTGCGCATAGAGTTGGTAACGAACCCAATGACAAAAAGCTTAGCTCCGACTATTTATAGAAATCTTTTCACCTTATTACATGGATCTTGTAACATATCTTTTTAGAGTCCTCTACATCTGCGTGTTTTTGGTTAAACACATATGATTCTTATTTTAACTGTACACTGAAACGCGTTATTCGACAATAGTTTTGAAAACGGGTACAGATATTTTAATACTTACTTCATGAATCGATTGAAGTACAATTTTAGTTCTCATTTATAATATTATTGTAAAATAATTAAAATATTTAAGAAAATGCTATTTTTCAAATAGAAATAGTTAATTAACTAAAAATAATTTTATAAGTATGCCACATTGTATATGTTATGAAGAATTCAAATGTTTGTTCAATATGTAAATCGGAGTATAAATTAGGAATGTGCTGTTCAAAGTAGAGAAATATTATGTTTTTGAAGAAAAATAGATACTTATTTGTGTGTCATGTTAATTGTACATATTGATATATAAGTTTACAAATTTGCCTATACAATGCGCCTTAATAAATGCTAGTGTAGAAGTCTCTTTAATACGTAATAAATTATGTATAAAAACAGTAGTATCTATAAATAAAAACTCATATTTAATTTCTTATTATTTGGGCAGTAATATTACAAACGATCAAAGTCTACAAAATAAGACAAACGAAGAAAATTTTCCTCACATAGATAAAAACAATGACGGTAGAAAATATGGACACAAATATCAAAAAGAGGCTATTTAAAACTTGTATCTGGAGTGTGGCTTTGTATGTTTGTGAGATTTGGATTATAAATAAAAGAGAAAAGGTCAAAGGATATGCTGGCAACTGGAGGTCTAGTACTAAGCTCAAAGACATGGCACACAGTAGGGAAGTATAGAGAAATCATTCGTTATAAACCAATCCCCGAATTGGAAAATGGATGTAACCATGGATCTAAAACGGCCAGATTCACTTTTTGACAAACATGAGTTTGACCACTAAAAATGTAAATTTTTAGTAAGCCAATATTTATAGTGTTAAAATAAAACCACCCTCATTGTTTTTAGAATTGTTGTCCAAGAATTCTAAAAGTTACGAATGGTTTTGTAAAACAATTCACACAGCGCCACAAAGCTGCAAAATTGAGATTGACCTTTTTAGACCCAAGACACACATTATTTAATTATTAGGTATCTCATCAAATTTGAAATGTCATGATTTTTATAGTTAAAACCCTTGTTAGAGATGACTAGGACTCAAATTTCGTAGGTACCTTAAATTTGTATTGCTTGGGCATAAAACAATTCGGTACTAGTTTTATGTCTACGCCTTTGGAATTTAGGAGGTGGTTTTTGGTTTGGTCTCTTTTCTTTGCGAAACGACAAATGAATAATTAAGTTCATTTAACTTTTTGGACACGGATTAGGTTGTCCATAAAGGTGTCGGATTGGCGGCGTTCCATCAGAGCGTAATGTTATAATAACGGGGGAAAAAAGTTAACATTTTCGTTTTATAGTTTCTACTAGTAAGAGGAAAATCATAATCAAATAACTCTTTTGTACATAATTACACGCGTGTCAGTCGGACGATTATCGCTCACTGCTGTGGCAGTCATTCCGAATCGAGTATGGGCGCTGACTCATAATATTATGGCGTGTGTGTGTTTTTTTCAACGCATTTCTCGTGTTTTCACCGTCAAACTGTCTGATCGTACCGGGAAAATGGCTGGCGGTGGCGTACGTGTGTGTGTGTGTGAGTGGATATAACAAATCAGTGTACCTGTACAACATAATATATATTATATTTATACATTATCATAATAATATAATAACAACAACTAATAATAATATACACTTGTACACACATTCGGAAAACGTTTATAAGACAATGCGCGGCTGGTGGTGGTGATTTCACGCCCGGAGCAACGTGCGATATGCTGGATTATTAATGGTCGGGTGATTTCTCTGGACTGACTGCCGGCTATAGGTTAGGTATAGGTATGGGTAGGTAAGTAGGTAGGTGGCTGGGTAGGTGGGTATAGGCAACATTTTCTCGCGTGCATTTTGCTCCTGGTCAACGTGCAATTTTGTCAGTTTTTTCGCTATCGCGGACGACATGGATACCAAGTGTAGTGCTCATATCATCGGCCTGATTGCTCTGTGCCACGTGCTCGACATCGCGCACGCTGGATCTTATCTAACTCTGGGGATCAACGGTGAGTCGATCGTACCCGGGTACAAAATATTATATAGTAGTAGTCGGGGTAAATTTTAACAATAACAGTTTTTGGGGTTGATTTCGGTTTTTTTTTTCTGATAATTTAGCTTTGTTATTTTTTTTCACAATTCACACAGGCTTATCTTGTATAGTGTACACAATGTGTATACAACGTTTTGCCAAACATCGGGTATTAACTATTTCTCCAAACCCCTATAAGTTTCTATTTAATTATAGGTATTTTTTACATTAAAGAAAATTTGTTTTTTTTTAACCGCCAAAATATCATTTTTATTTGATAAACGACCCCTTTTTCTAAACATAAAAGGCATGAAAGTTTAAAAGTATTAGGACTAGATCTGGAAATTACAATGTAAGAAGATTAAATAGCAGCACGCATAAAAGGGTTCAGCGTTTAGGTTGTCAATTTACATTCCTGTCGTATTTATAGTTTGGTTTCAGTAAATTAAAATTTTTGATGGGCCTCAATAAAATTAATTAGGAACTAGAAAAAACGTATGGTTATAGTAAAGAATAGTAAAGAAATTAATACTTTAACTATTAACCATAAAAATAATAAACTCTTTGCGTATTTCGGAAACAATGTTGTCATCATCAGCACTAACATTTATAGTTAGTAGATAATAGTTTTAAATATTCAAAATTCAGACATAATAAGTACTTCATTCTAGTTGGCACTACCCGAACCTCACTTGCTTGTAGGTAAAACCTAAAAAAGGACTAGAAGTTGTAACTTGTAAGTTATAACAAATCACTTTATTATTTGCATTTTGATTATATTTTGCAAAGTGCCTCGGATATCTGTGTTTGAATACATTTTTGTATTCAAATCTATAGTCAGTCAACAAGTGATAAGCACTAAGTTGAAAAAATTATAATTTTGGCGTTTAAAAGAATTGGATACGTGAGGCTTGAAAGAAATAAATACCCATAAGAAAGTATAAAATTATTAAAATTTTATGTTTAATTTAAAACTATGTTACGTAGGTGGTGCCCGTAAATAAATAGTTGTCATATGTCAATATTAATTAGTAAATGTAACCTTTACGAGCATTATCACTTCTTATACAAAAGGTCACCAAAATGTATTTAATGATTTGCGTATCAATCAATTGTTTGTAAAATTATGTTAATTTTCAGGTACAAACAAAAAAAAAATAAAAAACACAGTTTATTTTAAATTTTAGGAAAAATTAAATTACAAAAATGTTATTATTTTATTTTAAGTTATTCCAATATAACTTTTTTATTATAATTTTTACTCTTAACGCAACCTTGCGATTTATTGTAAAATGTATAATATGCTAATATATTACGTTAAAAAAACAATTGTTTCAGTAATTTTATAGTTTTGTATTTTATTTATAATATGGATAATACAGGGTAATCATTTTATCGTGAACCACTCAATATCTCATAGGATTTAGTATGAATTGTTTTCATATTGTTTTTATACAATGTGATCTCAATTTTTTTTGTTTTTAACTCCTCCCAACTTTTTTTTGAAAGCAACTTTTGAAACTTAAACGGTAACGCATACATTTCATTAACTTTTCAAATTAAGAATAATATACTTAAAATGTTGACTGGTTGATAACCAGTTTCGGACAACTATTTTTAAAGTTATAAGACTTTAAAGGTTAGGATGGAGGGGATGTACGGCTGGTAAGTGCGCGCAGATAAAAATAACACTACACTCACTTTTGCTCCTGTCCTAAACTTGAAACTTCAATAGCTTCAAAAGTACATATCCAAAACTAGTTATCGACCAGTCAACATTTTTAGTATATTATTCTCAATTTGAAAGTTAATAAAATAAATGCTTTACCATTTAAGTTTCAAAAGAACTAAATTGGGATGGAGGTAAAACAAATAAAAATTGGGATTACATTGTTTAAAAACATTATGAAAAAAATTTAATTTCTTTTTACATCCAATGATATATTGAGTGGTTCATGATAAAATGATAAACCTGTATATTACATCTCTAGAAAAATGTATTGGTGTCGGGTTTCAAAAAATTGGTAATGCTAACGGTTTAATGTTGTCCAAACTGAATTATAAATTCTCTGTCTTTATTTCCATCAAATCATAATTTAATTAACAATTTGAAAATTTTTATTAAATATCCATAATGACTGAGAGGAATGTTCTGTAATATTAAAAACTGTGTATTGTGTGATGTTATAAGTTGAGTTTAGAGCGTTAAAGTTCAAAAATGTTTTAATTGAAATAAAGGGTTCACATGTGCGCTTAAGGGGTAAAATATCTGCAATCTTTTACAACTAAATGTACAAATTTAGTTTGACCTAGTAATTTTAACCATGCCATTTTCATTTTAACATTTTCCTCAGGTCACATAGGACACGAGTCCAGGGACCCCAGCCTGATGTGGGCCCCTAATAATACATTTTACATTTTTTGGGTTTCTTAAAGGGCCCGTGTATAGCCCAAAACGACCCTAAAAATTATTTTTAATTACAAAATTTGATGAAACGGAAAAAGCGTTCCGATGTAAATTTGATAAAATAAGTCTTCTTTTTTAATATCAAAACTCTACTTGTACCCAAATTCTTGTAAACCTTTTTATTCGTTTTGATATGGTTTTCATAGTTTGACATAATAATTATCTAATTCAAAATGTTCGCAAATCCAGAAAAAAAAAGAAGAACTTGCTAGTTAGGTCATGCTAGATAGAGACCAAAAATCATAGCAGTAAACTTTACTGATAACAATACTAAGAGTAAATTTATTTTTAGATAACTCGAAATTCACTTTGGTCATGACCATGATTGTCGTTGTTTTTTTTCCATAAATTAGTTCTGAATGTGAATTTTAAAAGAATTTGGCCTCATAATTTATTTTACGGTTATCTATAGGTAAAAGAAAATATGTAAAGTCTGATTTCAACTATAAAATACACACGTCATAGTGGTAAAATTTGTAGAAATAATACAAAATGAATATGTTCTTTGTGTAAGTTAAAAAAAAAGATAAGTAATGTACATAGAAATAACTATTTGGTAATTTGCACGATTTCTTCAATTTTTAGTACTTTAACATAATATGTATAATCATAATTTCTCATAGTTGAAATAATAACGCAACATATTTTAAAGCGCCAACACGTTGTAAATAGTACTTCAGCATTGACTTTAAAACTTCAATAACAGGGTACAAAAATAACTAGACGTGCTAATAAAAAAAATCTTAGACCATGGTCAGATTCAACAAGAAAAGTGAACGTATTTTGGTTCTTGTTTAGAAGTAATTTAGAAACAGCTTATTAAACTTGTAGTGAGGCCAACAATGATTCATGGAATCGATTATTGAGCGTTGAATCTTCTACTTCCTAATTCTATTAAGCTTAGTCACTCCACACACCCAACACAACATTCTTAATTCTGCTAGTTCCACTTTCCTTTCATTGTGGGTCATTTTTCTTGTTTAATTGCATTTGCTAGTTTAGGAGTAACGCCGATAGCAGGAAGATAAGATGAAGTGAATTGGCGAGTTGGAAGAAAAAACAAAAATTAAATAGTAGACCGAAAAATAAATAAATGGGTTTTATAATAAAAGTCATGGATACTTGTGGAGTGAATAAAGTAGATGGTAAAAAATACAAATATGTAAGTAGAGGTTTAGGGTGGTTGACACCGCTTGTTTGGTATATGTAAAGGAAGAAGAAGAGAATATATAGTATAAAACTTTCTCTAACCTAACCTACTCAAACAATATTTGTTACCGGACGCATTTCGGAAAGCCACTATTATGTGGATTTTATTTGGATTAGGAACTTGTCAGTTCTACTTTAGCTCAATCTGGTCAACAACTAAGCTAAGCTATTTCGAAAAAAAAAAAATTTACATTGAAACTAATTATTATCTGACCGCGTCGGTAAACAATTATAATGTCACAACTCGAGTCGAACGAACAATTCAATTGGTTTCCATAATAAATGTAGTCTAAATAAAAAAATAAAAAACTATGTAAAAGAAAAAAAAACTACTAAACGAGTAGGTAGTTTTTTTATTGTCTATTTTACAGTACCACGTGATTGTTCGTGCATTTTTTATACATTCCAAGGTCGAGTTTTGGCAATCCTATCGTCTACAAGATATAAAATAATCCCCCTGTGATTACCAAACCGTAGGTCCGAGACACTGCTAGTCGCCGCATTCTTTCCATGCATAATTGAACTATTAATTTCTCAACCCGTGGCCGCCGCCAGAACCACCGCCGCCGTTGATTGTAGTTTTCCGGATTTCAGCTGTCATCCGACAATTTATATAAAAAAAAAACATAAATACCTTAAAATATACATCTAGGTATATTATGTTTAGAGGTCTTAAAAACACTAAAGTCTTAGTAATAACGTCTTGATACACTGCTGATGATGATACGGTCAAAAGAGATCCGTGTCCGCTCCTTAATTTTCCTACGACGACCTCCAATATAATAATATTGTGTTTATGCCGGAAACACGGGTTTGTGTACCTATGTATAGTATTTGTGTTTATTCATATTTTTTTAAATACACAAAACAAAACGCTGCCTTCGATGAGAACAGGACCTTCTTGATTTTCGACGCTTTTTCCATAAAGTAGAGAAAAAAAAATACAATTAATAGGTTGCACGATTATGCTTTAAATATCATAATCATTACCGACGTTTACGGTTCTCAAGCTTGACATACACAATTAACCGTGTGTCGCTCATCCTGAATTCCGCACGCGATTCGCGATATCATTGTTTTTTTTTTTTGCAACACAACACAAAATAAAATAATAATACACTGTTTTTTGTCTGTATCAGTCTGTCTTTTCTTGACAATTACTTCCGGATGTAAATCGCCAATCAAATAATATATAATATTTTCTAGGAATTTGCACCATAAACATGTTGGCAGAAATGATTTAGATTCTTTGCCATTCATATTTGATAGATCGAGTGGTAATGTGCGACGTCCGTGGAAACAGGGAGTGACAAAAAGACAGGGTGGTTAAAATTTATATACACAAATATTTTAAATTAAATAAATTCATAAATTTTATGAGTATAATATTTGTTTTTGAAACAATAACTTCAGCTGTAGAGGTCTTAAATAAAATAAAAATATATATTTAATTGAAGTTTAAAAATCATTTATAATATATAGTATTTTAATTTGTGAAATTTAGGAAATAATAATGAAATACTTCATAAACAGTAAAGTAATATTAAAAATGTATATTTGAAAAATATTTGAGAAAGTGTTTTAAACATTTGATGTCTCAGTCATAGAGAGTTAAATATTTTTATAATAATTGAATTTATTTTGAAAACGTATATTTTTATGTTGTATGGATTAGGTTCTCAATATTTGATTTCCCGATAAAAAAAATGATGTAAGCATGTCAAAATATTGATAGCAAGAAAACGGGCTATCGACGTACGATAGTATAACTTGACCGTCATTAATTGTTGATTTGCGCGTTATTTTACAATATCACGGTCTATTAACTGACATAATTCTTGTTGTTTACTGTATAATATACGGTTAAACATGCTTACATATGATAAAAAAAATTAAATTACATAAAATTGGGTTTAAAAAAAATGGAATAATTTCGTAGAATGAATAAAATAAAATATTTTTTCTAACTACTGTCACAGCCTTAGATTTAGCGTCTGCAAAAACGGATGACATGCCACTACGACCTTGTTGGGCTACCTTGTATTTTCTTCGATAAGAAACTATCAATCTGTGCCTTGACGAATTCGCTTGCTAAACGGATGTATTCCAATAACATTAATGTTCCGAATGAATTGTTCTTCCGATGAACATATTCGGAAATCGTTTATACAATTACCGTGTTAGCTGGTTATCGAGATTCGAGTGCATTTGTTCATGTATACTAAACTATAATTGTTTGTTGCGCCTTCTCAAATGCTTGTAAAGGAAGGTTGACTAATAACGCTAAACGTATCAATAATATTAAGCTCAAATTGATTTAAGGGAATTTTCCAAAACAACAAAGTTCAAATGAATTTTATTGTGGGTCTAAAAGGTGGTATTGACAAAAGAAAAACTTAATAAAACTAAAGTAGTAAACACAGAAAGTATAAATTACAGTGAGTTTTGGGCATTCAAACTTAAGTTAATTATTTTCGGCTGAATGAATAACTTCAAACAACTTGATTGCAATTTTAGCTCATATCCTTTTGAGCTGAACTATATATTGAGCAACATATACTGTTCCTTTCACTTGCGCAACATGTAAACGGTCTCGTTTGTTTAACATAAGTAACATATTATATGTGAGTTCATACAGCGAGTAATACGTATAAAGTGTTATTTGGTTTACATTTAATGTACACGAATACATTATTGTACAACAAAAAATTATCGACACAAGAAGTACAATAATATTATGACAAGAGTGGACAGAGATTATTTACACAACAAAACATACATCAGTTATTGTACCAAGCATAATATTATGTACATTGTACAATGCTCGCTCTAAATGCAAATTGTAATTGATTGTTGTTTTTTGTTTGCAGAATGTTTCGAGAGGGTGTCGATCGGTAAGCGTCTCAACGAATCTGACGTGACCAAGACTGTAAGTACCAGTAACCTGGTACAATGCAGTATAGAATGCGAACGGAATCTATGCAACGCTTACAGCTTTGGGTGAGTACGAACCACAGTCAGCACTGATAATTGTGTACACATTATTATAAATAGAAACAAACCAAATCAGTGAAACCAATCTTAGACCTAACCAGGCTAATGGCCTTAGAAGTCAAAGTCATTTGTTTAATCATAAAAAACATGTTTGTCATTCTGTGTGTACCTAGATTAACCATAAACGGCAATGGTACATGTTTATTGGCAGCGGACTTACCGAAATCAGGACTGTACGATGACCCGGAATATGATCTATTCATGAAAATACTACAATGTCGAGACAGAACAAGTGAGTGTTAATCCAAGTTTAAAGTACAAAACTAGTAAGAATTATTAATAATTAAACGTTATCCTTACTTCCGTGGTTAATATCTATTTCATGATCCTATTTAAAACCTATTAAACTACTTTAAACCGAGTTAATTAAACCACTTTAAACGTTTAGCAACTTGAATAATATATTTTAATATAGGAATGGAGGGTTATGGAAATAATAATAGCAAATTAATAAAAAAAACAACTTTTTTTTTGTGAAAAATATTGCTGAGGGAAATTCAAAAGATTAGTTGACTTTGCTTATCATCCTGGCTATTAAGTGAAAAGTAAAAAAAATTAACAGAAAATGTTGGTGAAGTATAATATATGATTGGTATACAATATTATTGTATAAACGTGGTATTGGCATTATAATATTGTACTAATGATACTTCGCAAAGTAAAAAATCCTTTAATATTAAAATATATAATATAAGATACATTTAAAATTAATAGCAAAGTTTCAAATTGTCATGAAACTAAACAAATGTATACAAAACGTTGTTTAAAAACGGTTTTTGATAACTATTGCATTGGTTCTACGCTGTCTCCCAAAAATTATTTTATAATTAAATCTGAAAAATCGATAAACAAAAAAATTACAAAATAAAATATTTAAAAAAATCTTTGAGTTTTGAGAGAACTATTGGTAACACTAAAATTAGTGGTCTAACAATTGTCTTTGCAATTGCCTATAAATGTCTAACGGTTAAATATCTAAAGTGGTAAAAGTCATTATACACACTTGCTTACGGCTATCCTAGGATTCGTATAATGTTACTCTACTCTAGCGTATATGTTAGAAATTTTAATAAGTTTTCCAAGTTAGAATCTGCAGTCCCCCTGCGAAAATTACTGTCGTAGCCTGATCTGTTTGCTTATTTCAAATACATATTAGAAATAATTTTCTTAAATGCGTCTGACATAGTATTTACAGATAATAGACAATTTTGCTTTGGTACTTATGTGTATTTTTAAATTTTGAATAATAGTGTGTTTCACAAAACTCGTGGGTGGACGTCGTTTGACCGACAAATACGTTCAGAGAACTTTGCCAGTCGAATCGAAACGCGATTGCGAGATGTTTTGTGAATATGAAAAGGAATTTCGTTGCGAGGGATTCAACTACAGGTAAACCAAGCAGTTGCCTAACCCTAAGAAAACTTCTGAGATAACTTTCTTGGATTCCTCCGTTTGTTGAACAGATACGACACAAAGCTGAGCTCGTACAGTAGTTGCCAGTTGACAGCGGTGCCTACGGCAAAGTTAGACTTGTCTTTGGACTTCTTTTCGGACGTGGACTACGACTTTTACGAAAAAAATGTCAACGTCTCGCCAATCTGCCGGTACTTGGACTTGGCCGGACCGGTCAGCTACGGCCAGAACCGTAAATGGGGTTTTGGTGGTAACGACCAGGAATTGACCTTGTGGCGAGATCCCAATCCCACGTGGATTCAGAGAAACGATGTAGGCGGAGGATATGGAAACGATCCAGTGTACTATGACCGTGGATCTGTTTCCCCCACACTTGGTGGTCCTAATATAAACCCCTTCAATAACTTTAACCCGACCATGTCGCCTGGACCGGACCGACAGCCAACGTCTCCTTTTGGTTAGTGTTTGCACCCAAAATTACATTATTTTCATATTAAATAAACTTACGTTGCTCTAGTTTGTGTTATGTGTTTCTAATCCAAATTTTAGAGTGTTTTATCAAAGCCAGGACTGGACATCATTTGCAGAGGAACAATATAATAAAATCGTTAAACGCGCAATCGCTTTACAACTGTGAAACCATTTGTGCCAGTGAACAAACATTCGTTTGTAATCTTTTTAGCTACAGGTAAAAACAAAAATCGGAAAAGACTTTTATTGAAACCTTCTCTCATTACTCCGCTAACGTTTTTAGGTACAGCTTTACTTCTTCTATGGACAACTGTCACTTGGGAGACAAGTTCATAAGACAACTAGATATTTACCAAGACTTGGTGCCGGACAGAGATAGCGATGTGTTCGTTAGGAACGAGCTTAGTCAACCCGGATGTCAACCGAGGAGAAATTGGGACACTGGTAAGTCTATTCAATAATCTCATGAAAGAACCTAATGTAATCGCTTAATATAACTATTATAACTTTGCGTGGAAGAAATGCCATGCACCATTTGGTGACCAAACTAGGCCTCAATAGGGCCTACTTCCGGTCAAATGTTCCATGCGCTAAATAAATAAATAAATCTGACTATTATGCAGTATACCTAAAAAGTATAAATTCTTATATTTTTTTAGACTGTTTTGAACGCATTCGCAGCGGTCTCACCATTCAAATTGCCATCATCAAATTTTCAGTACAAGCGGAAAACTTACACGAATGTGAGCTGATGTGTCTTCACATAAAGCATTTCACGTGCAGAGTGTTTAGCTTTCGGTAGGTTACTCAAAAAAAAAAAGAGGAGCTTGTATCGAAAAGGGTATACTTACAGAGTTTCTATTTTATTTTAATGTTAGACGAACGTCTGCTGTTATCGGCAAGTGGGCCGACAATTGTTTCTTGACAGACTACCCTGTAATGGACATGGATCCGACCAAACACTTCATCGAGGATGCCGGATGCGATATATATAACCGAGGTAGCTTCGGAAGGGGTTGCGAACTGGACAAGACACTGCCGGGCTTGTGGCCTACATCTTCACCGCCTATACTTACAACGTACAGGCCGACTTACGGCCAACTGCCTCCACAGGGTCCACCGCAGTTTGTTCCAGGTTACGGTCCTCCCCTAGATTCTGGTTACGGTCCGCCAAATTTCCCCATTGGACCGACCGTACCACCTCCTTTTAGCCCGACTACTCCTACAATGTTCACGCCGACTAAGCCGACCGGTACTTACGTTCCTTCACAACCACCCACTACGTTCTTCCAGATGCCAAATGAGTACACACCTGTGTCCGGTCGGCCCCAAGACAGACAGCCCTATCCAGACATATCCATTGGCGGCAGTGGCGGTGGTGGCGGTGGTGGTAACCCTTACGGACAAAACCCTCAGGTCCCACAATTCTACGGACCTGTGACAAAACGTGAGTATTCATCTGCACATTGATTAAGGTTCACCCACGTAGCACTTATGTGAAGAAAAAACCGATTTATCGCTTTTCTAAGTATGTACTATTTGTAGGTAATATTTGGATTGAATATCATTAAAACTTGTATGATTTTTAGTTTATGTATGTGAATAGGGTTGTAAGGTAGTTTATGTGTTTTGTGTGTTCTAATTGAACGTGTATGTTTTCTGTTTGGCTTTAGTGTGCTATATTAGTTTTGGTGGTACGGCAAGACTGTTGCCACCGGCTATTAGAAAATCCATGACGGTCGATTCGGAAATGCAATGCAAAATGGAATGCAACAACGCCCGAGAAAAATCGTATTTCCGGTGTTCTACGCTCAGCTACTTGTAGGTACATATTTTTTTTATAATAATAATTTTAACGATACAGCCTACGAACAGACGTGGGTACTTGGTATCGCGTGTGTACTAAATTGAGGTTGATTTAGTGGTGGTTATTGCGATATGAGCGACATCGAAATGAGAGACCTGAGGCCTAATCAGGACTTCAGCGAAGACCAGCGGTTCTTGTTGTTCACGTGGGACTTCAACGAAATTCAATGTTACGTTTCTCCAGTTGGCAAGCTCCCACGGCCCGGTGCTCGTAAGTCCATAACAAAAAAACAAATACCACCGAATTGCGTAATTGTTTTTTTTTATAACTTTGTAGAGCCTGGTGTGAATGAATGGACTTGGATGAGGTTCACAGTCAACGGGCAGCCGTGCAAATCTGGTTCCTACTGTACTCAAAACGCAGTAATGGGCATATGGTCGTGTCCGGTCGATCAAGGAGGATGGGATTACTGCTGCAGACCCGATCACCGGTGCGGTTATTCCGAAGGAATCAGCTATCCTTGGTCAGTACATTTAATACTTTATCATTTTGTTTAGTTCCAACTGGAATTTTATCTCGTCTTATACCTCACAAAATTGTACACACTGACAAGCCAGTTAACTAGATTTCGCATCAACTGTACTAGCAAATCGCACATCACGTCACATCTCTTTCGATCAAATGTGTTTTCCTTAAGTTAATTTTTTTTCTTCTAACTACAAATTTTATGGTTCTTCATACATCAGTTAAGCTTTAACGCATGATATGGTCAGACTACAAACAACAGCTATCGGGTTTCAACCGTGTTACTTTTAAATGGATAATCTAAATACGTTAAATTTGCATGAAAATTCATGAAAGTACATTTTTTTTTACGGACAAAAATATGTACTTTCATGAATTTTCATAAGATTTAATTTAAACTGAATATTCATCTATAATTGGTGTATGGAAAAAAAAGAAAACAAGTCATTTTGCGAAATTTCCAAGGTATTCGTAGACTTAATAAGTAAAATAATATACAATTTATTAAATTAAATTCTGGAAACAAAACGTCTCTATTTTAGCCCCTATTTCTTCAAATAACATCTTCCGTCTAGCCTAATCTTAGTATTCTTCTGTTCCTAATATGAAATCTGACTTTCTACGTTCAAATACTAGTATGAGATCACTTCCACGCACACATGACGATATTTGATAAGGTGTTGCTTACTGTAGGTGTTACGTGGGCAAAACTACCGAACAGTGGCGACCCTGCAGCGACCAGTATTACCCGTCGGCGGACCATCCGGTGAGTTGGCCGGTGAATTACATACACAACACGGGCCCTCCGATCGGTAACGATGCGTCTTTGGCCAGGTCAAACGACACAACACTGCCGGCCGCTTCTAAGTCGATAGTCGATCAGTTCCTGTCGATATTCACGTCAGATGATGGCAAGACCACTAACTTGACGGAACAAGCTAACAGCAGCATCACAGCCGACAAGACTTCAGCCTCTTTGACAGCGGCCAGCGACGTGCCCGCGTTTCAGGTTGTCGATGTAACCGACAGCAAAGCTACCAAGTCGGAGACGATCAGACTGTATTCGTACGGTGACCGCAATAGCGCCAGTGGACTACTCAAAAGAAGGCCGTACGTCTGAGTCGGATACGACCCTTAGAACAGTGTTGTACATATAGACAAACAAAAAATAATACCATTTACGATTAAGTATTTCCTCTTAGAATATTATTAGCACGGTATTGACAACATGGCAATATGTTTAATACTATATTATTATTATTATTATTATTGTGTCGACGTTGTCGTCGGTGGCGTAACGAATTGTACCTGGGGAGAGTGACGGGTTCAATGTGGTACCCTATAGATCACCCGCCATATGCCTCGTGTACTGTCGTCAGACGTTTATAAGTGTTCACGACCGTCGAAAAGTTTACAAAGAACCTTAAACGGTTTTCAAAAATGTAGTTAGATTTTTATGTTCGCACCGGAAAAGTATGATCGTCTGCCCTGAACAGATCAACTATATCTAATGGTGTGACAGCCATCGTAGACAAAACATATATATATATATATATATGTATATTTATATAAATAGTAGACTCGGTATATAGAAAACCATAGCATTATCTTTATTGTGAATTTGATTTCATCGGGAATTTTGATCCTGATAAACGTGCATACTCATTTTGTTACGCCATTTCGGTCGAAAGTTATACCTATCACTTGTCCTTAACTTTGCTAACACAAACTGTTTGTAGATTGTGGACTTAGCGACATTGTCGGAAAACACTATTTATGTATTATTATTATTCACTATTTAAAATTAGCAAATCGATAAACACTATTTCTCAATTAAAAATAAATTGATATTAGTCCCAAAATCAATATGTTGATTAAGAAACGGATCCCAATAGAATGTAATGAACCCGCCAACAATATATTATGCTACCTACCTATGTTGTAAATGTAAAAATATGTTTAGTTTTAATGATTATTATTATACTATATATTTAAAAATGTTTTACTTTTTCTATTATTTTATTATCTAATAATTTTAAAACTATTTTAGTTAAGCACAATGCGGTAATTAATAATCGACATTACTAAAGAGTCCATAATCATAATATTAAATACAGTAAATAGTAGGTATTATAAGACATATCACTATATGGTATTTAGATTGTAAATAATAACACGGCTAGTGGCGTTTTTATTTTTCAGTCAAACCTCACACGATTCATCCCGAAATTCTTACTTAAACTGTTAGGTTACATCAATATAGTTGTGTTTTTGAATTTAATTTAAATTGTCTTTACATGGAAAAAAATTAAACACTATTAATATATAGTTGTTTTGTTTAGAAGAACACAAAATAAAACGCCAGGTATTAAAAACAAATAGGCCTATAAGGTTTGCAGTTAAATTCTCGTCAAACTCAGTGTTTGGTAAAATGTAAAATATCACGTGATCTATCTATTTAGGTGAGATCTTTAGGATTAATGGCAAAGAATAATAATAATTTTTTATTGTCTGCATTAAGTATGGGTAGGTAGTCAATAACAGTAAAGTAAATCAATATATAAGTTTATATCAATGACCTTTAAGATACACGATGTATATAATGTATATACATATTATATTGTATTAAAGTATACGATTAGACGTTAAGTATATAATAGTTTTCATGGAAATCATTAATTGTAAGTGTAAATGAACTATATAAGTTAGAATTATAATATATATGATAATAATATAATACATATTTTATATATCACACAGAACACACATATTAGTTTTAATAAACATAAATTAAATATAAATATATATTATAAGTATGGTGGATACATGAAAATGTATCACGAATTATAACTACTCATTTGTACACTCTTTGTTGTACCAAGGTATTTAAGCTGTTTGTCTATTGTCATAACTGCTTAAAATTCTTTGCAATATTACTAAAATGGCGTATAAAATTGAGTAAAATAATTATGAAATGTTTACATCAATTGACAGCCGAGAAATTTTTTCATGAATTAGATGACATTTAATTAACAATTTCGGTATGCGCATTTCCATTTCAGAAAAGTACATAAGGCTTACCGTAAAAGTTGGATTAATTCAAAAGAAAAATTATAATGTAAGCTTTCAATTGTTATGCACCTTGATACCTTGGTGAGCTACTTATTGTTCAGTAAATGTTTAAACATTAACAACGTAATGAAAGCAGGATGAGCTTAAGTGGTTAGATAAATCATTTGCCTAATTACAATTTGGTACGTATTTTGTCGATCTAAAATTTAGATTTGATAGTTCATTTTAGGGAAATATATTTTTAGTCATTAAGTATCTGCGACACTTTTTTTTTATTATTCTTAGCCTAAGTGACTTTGAGTGTGTCATTTCAACAATCTTAGAAAAGGTTAAAGTGTAATTTATGTTTAATAAAAATGTTCGTTTAAAATTATCAGAAATTCAGTGTAATTAGTACTTTGCTAGGTTGAAAATTGAGAAATTCTAACTCTTAAGACAGTAAGACGTGTACTAGGCAGAAATTGTAGTAAGTAAAAATCAGTAATAATAATGGATTCTTCAATACTATTTTTAGCATACTATAAATTGGTGTAAACATTTTTTAAAGTAATTCCAGTTTTTTAAAGGCATCTTTATTATTGTCCTAATGTAAAGATGTGTAAATAGTATATCAAAGAACTAATATAAAATTAACATTTGTCCATACGCTAAGTAACATAAAAGTTATGACAATTTGTCTTGCATTTGTTTATATGATTTAAAAAATTCTTTCTTAAAAGCTTTCTAGTGTCTACACTTAAAGCCAGCTAAAGAGTTTTATTTTGGGAAAAGCTCAGTAAAATAACTCAAATGGTTTAGCTCGGTTTTGTCTTTTTTACTGCAATTTATTTTATTTTCACTTATAAAATAATATGTAAAATTGTATCAACGGTAAAAACTCTGCATTACGCTTCATAGTTTCGGTATTATTTAGTAAAATTGTTTTTATTAAAAATGCTTATAATTAAAATTATACTATAAACTTACAAATAGACATAAACTAAATAAAACAACAAATAATTATAATAATAATAAATCAATGTTAATATTATTATCCTAAGTACTCGTATCGTGTTAAAAAACAATTGGTAGAAAACAACAATGTACAAAAACGTATAGAATATAGAATAAAATACAAACAAAAATAAACATATATATATAAATTAAATAAATAAATTTAAAAAATAATTTACAAAAATTAATAAATTATGGCGAAATCTTAATTCTGATTACCTAGATTTTTGGATATCACATCGAGTTGGAAAAAATAATAAAACAAATTATTTTGTCAATAGTGCGGTTTCGTTCGCATAGAAAACATACATAGTGTATTATATAATAATAATAATAATATAATTATTAATTATCTATATTGAACATGTCATAAGAAAGTTAAAATATACAAACGAGATGATGTTAAAACAATTTTTTTTTTAGAGGAAGGAGAGGTATCTTAAATTATAATAAACAAAATTATAGTTAAGAAGTGTGATGTTTTTATTATTATAAATAAGAATAACTGTCATGTACTTATTGTACTCCGGTAATAGTCTGTAGCCAAGGTTTGTAGTATGTGGTCCTCATGTAAACTCCGGGTAAGTACGGGGCTGCGCACTTGATACCGTGTGACACTGTTCCGATCAATGTCCACCGACCATTGTCTTTTTCGATCATCAACGGTCCACCACTGTCTCCCTGCATACACACACACACACATACAATTAAAAATCCGTTAAAAATAAAGGAAAGCTAAAATGTTACCGAAAGTAATATTTTCTAGAATTTTGTTAATTATTTCTCAATAAAAAAAAAGTTTGGTAAAGGTTTTTTTATTTCTTGAACATTATACACACTACAGATTTAGATAATAACTATTTTGACCTTAAAAGGTCTAACCCCATTCACTATCCATCCGTACTATTTGGAGTGTGAAAATAAGGTTTGTGCGAATGAAAACTGTAGTTGCGATGATACTAAATTCATTAAGTTTTCATACAAAAACAAAGGAAAATATTATGTATGTTTCTTAGCGTGGTAACTTTTTATTAGATAAAAAAAAATGTTTCTATACATTTATAAAATTTATTGTGTAGCGTGTATTAATAAAAAGTGGATAGAGTTATTAAAATTTAAAATCGTTTAAAATCTCCTCCATCTACTGTGAATATTTAGTGGTTTTATAAAAATTACAAGACACTTTAGTTTTGATTAGCTTAAAACTATTTGAATGTAAATAAATTGCAATTGTCTTATAGAAGTGACTTTTATGTCTAAGAGTTTCACGGAAAATAATAGAGGTTAGGCCAACTCCGCTTAGGATTTTAGATTTTTTTTAGGACTTCTTCAACACTTTTTGTATAGCTGTATAAATATATTTCTAATACTCTTTTAACTTTAGAACCTATTTATTTATTAAGTAAGTTATATTCACACTATGTGTATTTATAGTGCCATATTTTTCAATAATAATAATAACTTGTAGGAAAAAGCTGTCATAACTGTCAATAGTCGATCAGTTTCGAAAAGTGAAACCGATCTGAAATCTGACAGAAAAAAAAATGATATTGTGTGACAAATGATCCATGTACTATCTGGATAAAAATAGTGTACGCGAAAGGCATAACAGTTTTTATCTGTTCATTGTGGTAGATTGCCCGAGTTTAAAAATAAAACCTTTAGGCTTTAGAAAACGTATAATTTTTTTTTTAGCTAGTGATATCAATCAAAACCAGTGGATTAGAATAATCAAATACTGGGATTTTTTTTACACGAAAGGTCACACTTGTATGTTTTGTTTATATTATTTGACAACGAATTAAGAGGGCATTGACAGAGACCCATATTCAACGGCGTGTGACTGTGGTCAGAGCGATTAAATCAGATCGCAGATGAAACGTTATGATGTTACATGCCGTCTCTAACGAGAGCACGTCGACTGCAACGGGTTGAAGTAAAAACGAAAATACTTATCAATTCGAAAAAATTATTAATATTGTCGTTGATTCAATTACCTCACAAGAATCCCTCTGTCCGTTGGCGTAGCCGGCGCACAGGAAACTGCTCAGTATGCTTTTCGAATGACCCGCCGTCTCGAACATGTCTTGACAAACTTGGTTTTCTATTATAGGAACTTGGACTTCTTGCAAAACGCTCGGAACTCCTCCTCCTGCAACAAAGGCGACATATTAAAATTAAGGTACCGCATATTAGTAGGAGTAAGGGATTTGTTTCGTCTCGTGAATGGTGTGGCTTACACTCCACTTCTGACTTCTCTCCCTTCGCCAAGTCCGCTCGAATCTTTAACTTTCACAGCCTCGTAATCGACCTTTACTCCTAACCGTCTGCCTTAGGGTTGGCACCGATTAACGTGCACTATCCAGAGTAGGGCAATATCCGGATTTTCAACCGGATCCCAAACTTTGTCAATAACTTAAGTCTCACCGTATTTTAACCTTCCCCATCCGGTGACCACCGCCATGCGACCCGTGAAGTCATCTTCGTCGTCGGGCATGCAAATGGGAACTATGTGCTGGTCGTAAGACACCGGTGACTCCAATTCGAGCAGAGCTATGTCGTTTTCGAAGGTGGCCGCGTCGTATTGCCTGTGCACTATGACTCGTTTCACGTTTTTACTAATGCTACGCTTCGACTCTACTTCGCCGCTGATGTCGTACTCGCCGAAGACAGCCACCAGATTGGCCAAGAACCTAAAATAAACGTTTAACCGACTTAATTAATTAAAGATAGACTTGAACGTTATAACGCGAACGCTATATTTTGGTAACCCAAGTACAAACGTCACGTCAGACATTATTCAAACGACTTTTGCACTTGTTTGCCTTTGTAGCATGCACGGAAACCGTATGTCCTAAGGATGTCATTTCAGTTCTCCAATAAAGATGGAAGCCCAACCCTTTCACCGCCCTTGTCCTTCTTTATAATGCTTTAAACTTTCTTACCCGGGTTGGCAATGGGCCGCTGTGATGACGTGCTTTTGCGTGATCAACACTCCACCGCATTTGTTCTTGGTGAACAGTCCAAGCCAAGTTGCCTCTTTCACCAACACTTGCCACGGCCATTCGCCAAATGTCGATCCGGTGCCGCCGACGATGCGACCGTTCTTTCTGACCAAAGGCCGAACACCGCACACTAAATACAATAACATTCGGTTAAATGTAGATTTACGAAAGAGTACCAAATTTGTTTGTAATAACGGTATGGAAATGATCAAGTAACCGGTAATGAATTAAGGCATTAAGACCGGAACGACAAATTATTTTACTATATCGTTATCATGATTACGAGGAGCTCCCGAGTGTCTCAGCGGTAACGTATCATATGCGAATTTGCGAGCATTACCGTCTCAGGCCAATTATCATAAGATGTTTTAAGTAATTAGTCTGCATATCCGGAGTTCTTCGAGCGTGAACTACTCCCGTTGGTTTGTGCCAAATTTACCAATTACCAGTATATGTTTACCAGCGTGATGTTTATTTAAGCAACTGGGAAATACATTTCTTACTAATAAGAATTAAAAATCCAAATAGTCAAAACTAGTAATAACCCAAAAGACAAAAATATGTTTTATATTTAAATTTAATATTTTATAATAACTGTTATAATATTCGTTTATATTGTAAAAATATTTTTTAATTAAAATTTGTAGGAAAATAAATATTTTAATACAAATTTCTAAATGTATTTAAACTGTTTTATAATGTTAAGAATATTTGTGTTTTTAAATTTTATTTCCTGCCAAAAGGCGAATCAAGAATATATTACAGAAAATATTATAACAGTTACTATATTTTAGTACTTCAGCTTAGTATTTCAGTTACTTATATGTTAAGTGTATATTTTTGCTCTATGGGAATAACAAATTTCTAAATTAGTTTAATTACTTAAAAAAATGTCATTATTTACACAATGTCAACATTTGTTTGTGTATATTGTCAACATTATATATTAGTTTCATATTTATTTATACGTCAATATTAATGCATATTTCATTTCATTACAGATATTAGTTGTTAAACAAAAACACTAGCTAAAGGAATAGGACGTACGCTCTATTTCAAATTTGTAATGGCATAAAATATACTCTTTATTATTATTGTTTTTATTTATAACCATTAACCATCAATTGATGCAGAAAGAAAAAAGTATTACTGGTAATATGGTAAATAGTTTGGAAAATCAAAAACTATTGATTAGTTATTAATTGAATGATTTTGTTGCCAATCTGTTAAAGTATACTCGCTATTATTTTTATAATACTTAAGTAAGTGGCGTTTACCTTTTCTATAATCCGGTTCAGCAGTGGTATAACCGTTTTCCACGCTTAACGTGTCCAGAACTACGGTGGTGGACGGTGCTTTTGTAGGCTTCGGGCGCTTGACTGGGCTTTCGGTGGACCAAGTGGGCTGAAACAGTTGGACGGGCGTGAGCAGCGTCGGCAATTTGGTGGGCTTGACCGTTGTGGACGGTTCCAGGTACGGCGCGTCCGGCAACGGTACGGGGGTCGGTTTGTACGTGGACGTGCCCACTTTGGGCGGTTTGGACGGTTTGGCTTTGGTCGGTTTCTTGGTAGTGGTTGTCAATGGTTTTTTGGTAGGCGTGCTAGGCTGCGGGTCGTTGCTGATAGTCACGTTAGAAGTTTGTTCACCGGACATAAGCACCTTTTCCAAGTCTTCGAAATTACCCTGTAACGACTGAACAACCTTTTCGACGAATAGGTGCACCTTGTCGTCAAGGTTCTCGTCGACGGCGAGTTGCGGAATCGTATCCGGGTCGGCATCGTAGTCGCCGCCAAATTGCGTGGTGTCCGTCAGCGTTGGCTTTTCTTGTTGGGTGGCCGTCAGGTTGACGTTGGGATCGCGAACGGGCGGAAACGCGAAAGAGTCGGTCGAGTTAAACGCGGCAGGGTTGGACAGGTTGCTGGTGTACGGGTACGGGTTTTGATGCAAGTCAACTGAGTCTGAGGTGATGAACACCTGGCTGGGTGTTACGGGTGACGGGTAGTCGGCGTCGTCGGCGAGTGTCGGCGTATGGGTGACAGTGGGTGGTTTGTAAGAAGAGGTGGCGATCACCGCCATGGAGTCGTGGTTCAATACGGGCTTGGCTGTCGAGTATGTGTTGCCCCCCGGCCCATGATATTTGTTGTTGTTATTGACCGCCGTGAACACAGTCGTATATCCGTTGTCCGAGTGAATGGTGCTGCTCAACGTGCTGGGTTTACTGGTCGAGCTGGCCGCATACACCACGGGTTTGGAAACCAACGGTTTGGCGGACGTGTGAATACTAGATTGGCCGTAAGTCTGGACTTCGCCCACCGGCACGAACGTCGTGTGCTGATAAGTGGGCGTGTAAGCGGCACTCACCGACGGTTTGCCGGTGACAATAATGCTCTGCGACGGTTTCACTTGCGGGCGGTAATATGACGACGACTGAGGCGTTTGCGAGGTTGTCGCGCTATACGAGTAAATGGACGTCGAGGACGATGAGTATTTGTTGGGGTTCTTGGCGTCGTTCAACGAGCTGAGGACGATCACGGTGGGCGCGGCCGCGTCGGGGTTGGTCACGGGTTTGGCGGTGGACGTGGGTTTTACATGAAAATGAGGTCCGGGCAGGTGGTGCGTGGACGTCGTGAGGCCGCCGTAATGAGACGTAGTCGGCTTGTACTCATTGTGTAGATATGAGCTGGAGGGCTTAGTGGAATGGTACGACTGTGACGACCCATAACTCGGTGACTTGGAGTCGGCGTCTATGGAGCCCCAGGTATACAGGGCTGGTGAGGAGGTGGACGAGTGGACGTAAGTCTCGGCGACCATCGGTTCGGGGTCGGCGACTGGCGCCGTTTGGTTCAGTATAGACAATATGTGATGTATCGAGTTGGACTCCTCCTCAGACGACTTATTCGGGTCGGGATGGGCCGTTAGTGTGGGCACAAGCACCATATTGTCGTAGTCGTCGTGGCCGTACTGAGCTGGGTGCTGGGACGGTGTGCCCTGGTAGGACACCGTTGTCGTCTTCCGGATGTTGGGCACCGAGTCAGTCGACTTGGACACCGGCGACGTTTGCCCCGAACTGGGGTTTTTAAATTTGTTGCCGAACAGCTGTTGAAAACCGTTGGCTGGAGTGGTGTGCAACACGTCCGTCATGTTGTGCGTCATGTAATAGTGGCCGTTCGGGTTGAGCGTAAAGTTCTTGAACAGGTCCGCGATGTCGTCGGGTCTGTACATGTTCTGTACGGCTGTGCCGTTACGATGTAACAGTATGGTGTCGGCCACCGGTTGTAAGTTCAGCTCGGGCCTTTTGAACATGCCGCCAGAATTGGGAGACGCACTGGACGTACTCTCCACTGTGCTGGCCGACGGATTGGCCGAATTGTGTTCGAGAGTGGGCACTTTGATGCCCGGCGGTAACCGGCAGCAGGCACCGAACAGGAACACGTCTACGCAGGAGCCCACCACGGAGCCGCCCAGCTGGGTGCATTCGTAATTGAACATGCACACGCCCCCCTGGGCCGAATTCTTATGCGAACTTCCGTTGTCCTTGCAAGCCCGCGGGACGATCCGATATCCACCGAATCTCCTACCTGAAACCGATAAGTATACAACATTGTTCGTCAACAGCTTAAGGCAAGTTTAACTAAGGAAAACAATAATTTAACACCAGAATGAACTACAAGATGTACCTAAGTAGTGATATTGGGGTTTTACAAATATTATTACTTATTTTAATAATTTTGGGGAAGACATTTTATTTTACAAAAAATCAATAAGACAATGAGGTACCAATTAGAACCATAAAATTGACCATTAAATTCAAATTTTCTCAAATTTTTTTTTACCATCAAATCAGTGATTAATAACCAAATGGTATATTCCGTTCAAAAATCGTGTAATCTAATTTCTATGAGTGTTTCACAAGAAATAAGGTGAATGGACCATTTTAGATTTTGATAAATATTTAAAAAGTTAAATCCTTAAATGTTCGATAAAAAATTTAATTACAGTTTTTACACTATTTAATAACATAAAATATTATAATTTTTAATTTGAAAAATAACATAAAATGTAATAGTACAGACTTTTTTAGGTCTGCTATTAATCTATATTTAAATAAATTAATGATGAAAAATTGAAAATAAAAAGTTAGCAGAGAAAACATGTAACAATAATCTGAGATTTGCTAAGCACTCTTTAACTCAAGCCTTCCTTCACGTATCGTTTATAAATACAATCGAATTAACATAATTAAAAATAAAACTAGACCTTTATATTATAACGTGAGCGTGCAATGAAAAAAACATGTCTTGTACATAAATCGTTTATTTTGGTTCACCTGTCCGTAATACCGGTTTATGGTGTTTTGGTATAATTATCTAGTGTATTTTGTATGTGTTTAAACGTTTTTATTAGCTTTAATTTGTGCTATCGAACCTTGTGAAATGGACGATTCCTGGTGCAGTGGATTGTTCTTGTAGAGAACGTCATACGCTGACAGGTTGGGTGGCATGATAATGGTCAACCAGTAGTACGACAGCAGCCGAAGAGCGGTCAAGCGATCCTGGGACATATTGAGGTCGCATCCTGTAAAACGATTACACAACATTTGATTAGGTCTTTGGTCGAGCGATTAAAGCATATTATTGTTGAGTTTATAGTAATGGCGAAATAATTAACTTATGCGTCAAAAATAATATTAGTAGAAACGATAATTTTCAGGCGCACTAGGAACGAAAATAATAATATTTTTTATAAATATATATTGTGTCTGTTTTATTTACTTATGTAGTTGGCGTTGTCTATTTAGATGCAAGTTTAGCAATATCGATCAAATGTCGCCACCACAAATTCATGGCGTTTGGCAGCCACGTTATGTCAATAATGTTATTAAACCTACCCGTCGCCAATCAGTTGGTTGGGATGTGTTATATGAAATGTACGGAATCGATTTGGCACACCGATGAATCATTAGGTGATCTCGCCTGGGGAGCTACCAAGATAACGTTGTATCATTATATTATAATTAGCGTACTGTTATAACGTGAAGTTTGGGTCTTCATATCAATTATGCACGAGCGAGAAATTCGATTAGAATCTGAACGTTTACTACAGGGTAAACACAGTATTGCGCTATTTGAATTCAATAATATATCAGTGCCGAGATGATTTAAGTTGGTAGAGTAATATATTTGATAAATCTAATAATATACAAGCACTTGTGCAATTTAAGCAAAATATATATTATACGCTTTAAATTAAAGTGTTATTGTGGATCGATGAACGATTTTCATTAATTTTGGCAAGACCTTGAGTAAATATTGTACGGTGCAATGTATTGACTATTTGAATAAGTATTTCAAATGAGTTTGGCAATAAAATTAAGAAACTAAAAAGTATAAAGCGAAAAATATATAGTGTGAGAGAAAAAAAAGCCACTTGGTGCTTATTGGCGAATTCCTTAAGAACCGCTTAATACAACGGCGTTTTTCTTAGATTAGTTTAAGGGAAATGCCTCTGGACTCTTTTTAATTTAATTTCTTTCGGTTCATTTATCATGTACAATTTTTTTTTTGTTTCCTCGTGTCCAAACAACGTGAGGTCTACTGTGGGAGATGCTCGAGGTTATAATTATGTCTAATTGCATCTATTATAGCTTACTATACAGTAGCGTACACGTTAATACATCCCCGTCGCCAAGTTTGCTCTTTAAAATTTGTATAATTGCAAGGAAACCAGTCGCATAGATGTTAAATTAAGTCGGTATAAAAGCATTTTCCATTCACTTTGTCGAATGCCTGGGAAAATTCAAACGATAATGAACCATTTCGGTCATTATCGCACCGTCGTTTATTTGGTCCGACGGTTCGTTAACGACAAATTCCAATTACTTTAGTGGACAACTGTCGTACCGGCCATTCGAGTATTCAAATTATTTACTATTTCATTTGGAATCGTTAAGTCCAAATTATTCAAGTAGTCCCAGCGTAATAAAATCGTGTTTTGGACCGGACCACATTTTCCCTGACCGCTTTTCAAAATATGTCAACAACGCCAAGAGGAGGTCGATCGCATTACGCGTCTTGTGGTAGTCTCACATTCGCTTTTGTTTTAATTATGATTGTGAATCTCGGACGAAGCAGAACTTTTTGCAAAATAACTAATTCGTGCAACGCGTTTAACGTTTTTACAAAAAAATCGACCCTATAGGTCATCGTTACGGTCCAACGGTTTTGGAATGGTAAGGATAATGGTAAAAAACTAAATAATCGGTAATAATCATAATTGGAATCGTCGTGGTGGCGCTATCCAGTTTTCCTAGCCGTTTAAACGTTGTAATTTCTAAATCGATGATACCTGTCTATGATGTTATGTATTATATTCTCATCAGTTCCCGTCTAATTGTGTACGACTACCGTGTCGTCGAGTCCACTCCACATATAAATTACCTAGACACTATAATATGATCAGTCTGTCGGTGTACCAGTGTAGAGATAACCTAATACACGTATGAAGACAAATGTCTTCTACACAAACTCAACGGCACGTCGCAGGAATTAGGACGGCGATGAGTCAGTTTATTTTTGAAATAATATATTATTTTTTATTTAATACCGACATCACGTTGAGCGCCACTGTCATCTTTAAATTAACTATACGAGATTTACGACCATTTTTAGCTGAGAAGTGAAAATCCTCAATAGGGTTTCGGTTTAGAACCGATAGTCGCCAATAAGTCTGCAATGACAGAGACAATATTGATAAGTGATAAATGAAAAATGAAAAAATCAGCTTATGGTATTTATTTAATATCTTTCTAAATGACAATAGTAATTTAATCTAATCTTTAAAAATAATTACAATCAACTTCATGATACTATAGAATTCCCAATTGATTAAATATCACTTCTCTATGAAATTGGAACCAAATATGATTTTAGAGAGCTTTTAGTTCCAAGTATACACGAAAAACATCAACATAATACTTCGTCATCGGAAGGACATCATAAGTATAAATAAACAAAGGGAAATTGTATAAAAGCACGAACATTAGACATTGAATGAGTGAAGTTCAAACAAGGTTATTATTTGTATGAGTGATTATTTGGAATATATTTTAACCTAATCATAATTAAGAACTAATTCTTCGGAAGCTGTCATAGTTAGTCAAGTTTAATTTTAGCCAAATTGAGGTTTAACTGTTTTAGGTAAGATTTTTCTTCCTTAACCCGAAACAGTTAATTATCATTTTTGCTCAACTAGAGTATGACCGTTCACCGAAGTTTTTTTTTTAAATTTTAAATTTAATTTTTATCACTTTTTTTAAAATCATATACGTTTTTAGATTGTCTGTTTCATATACGGTATACTTTGTGGAACATTTCATAAAATTAGATTATTTTCTTATGTTAAAGTACAGTTTCCGATGGTTTTCAAATGTTAAGTATTTTTAGTCACTAACCAATATAACCCCTCTGAATCAGACACTAATAAACACTAAGGCTAACTAACCATTAACGTTCGATTGGTGATTTCAAAAGATGGCAGCATAAATGAACCAAGTGACAGAACCGATCTCTCTTGTGAAAGACTTCACAGTTTTCAGTTTGGAAAAAATTACAGTGTTAGTCAAATGATATCAACTGCATGTGTTATTGAACCGTGGTAATCGTTACAATGTCAACTTTCATTTTTCTCATCGTCGCGGCCCACATATTATTATTATTACTGCTAACATAATGATAACAGTAGTAGGTATGGATCCGACAATGACCGTTACAATATGTTAGAGGATTTCACGTCGATACATTGATACGTTTTAGATCCGTTTGACCTTAAGCGGTGGGTAAAAGCGAGACGAGCGTTAGGTACATACAAAATAAAACATATTGGGCCGTCAGTGACGTTTAAGTTTCAGTGTAAATTGTCAATTTCAACTATGAAAACCATCGCAGTATGTGTTAGCTAGTAAGTATGTGTTAACAGTGCCACTGTTATCTTCTTAATCAGTTTGTTAACATCCGAGTCCGATTTGAAGGATCCGACTGGTCTTTGATCGGTAAGTTGTCGTCACCAAATGGATTCCAATCCGAGTGTTTCGTTTTGGGTAATCAAAATATAATCGAAAAACAATCTGTCAGCTACCGCATGCATTCTCTTTTGCTTTTGTTTATTTTTTTTTAGGTAAGGCATATCGTTACAGGCGGCAATCAAGTGAATACACTTCTTGTACAGCTTCTGGCTTGAACGCGCCATCATTGTTTTCAAACAATCGATCAACAAAGCGTTGCAGTGTGAACATCTTTGAGTGGTAAATACAATTTATGACGGAAGGATACGCCGGGTACTTTATAATTTTTTTTTTTTATTTAAAGAAAATTAATTAATTTGACGTTTCGGCATGCATGTACGCCCTGATTGGTTGCAAATCGGCACAGGAACTATATCAGTTAGGTAGTATAGTATTATTATTAATATTGTTAATGGCGTAAACAGCAATTTGCACTACATAACAATATGGTCGATAGAGAAACTACCGTTTTGATTTCTGAACGGGTAAACACTTCACAAGTCATTATTATTATCTTGACAAGTAAAAAAAAATCCAAATTAATGTCCATCATAATATTTGATTATAAATTGTATTCATAAAAAACTGACGGCTATGAAGTTATAATAATTTTGGCCGTCTAGATGCGACAAAGCGCAAGTATACCGGCGGCCGGTTGGGAATAAAATATAATTATTATTTTAAAAACTTGTCGTGTATGCGCGACGCAGATATCCGTCGACCTAAATCGTTTGTTGTTATTCAAGCTAGTGGAACGGCGCATAGAAACTAAGAGTTTTGTGAAGAGCGCATTGTTTCTTGGCTCTACCGACTGTGGTACCGTCATACACAGTCAGAACAATATTTTTACTATACGGTCCAAGCCTGGATAAATCAACGGTTTTTAATACGAAAGCAGAATACCTAAATCATTGTTTTTGTTCGAATATTAAACTAAGAATTTTAATAGTTTTGTATTTAATGTAATAATATAGCTTTGGAGCGGGTACATGGAAAATTCGCAACGACACCTTAGAGATATTTCGTCTGAACATTTAGACGGATTCGAGTAAAGAAATTAATATTTAAAAACCCTTACCATAAAAATAATACACTCTCTGCTTATACGTATGTCGACTTATGCGTGTACGACTTATATATTTCATACCACTGTCAAACTAAACGCCAAAATAGTTTTTCGCAGACATCAAACCGTATTTATATAAATTATTTTTAAAAAAATTGGATAGTTCTTCATTTGATCTAAAATTGGTAAAGTTATATTCGAGATTTAGTTGATATAAAAAAAATAAAGTAGCCAAGTTCAAATAATTCTAACTACCTATAACTTTATTAACGCGTTAGCGCCCATACTTTCTGCTTTCATTATAATAATTGTTTATTGTATTGATGGTTACAAGGCAAATGGGCCCTAAGCGATTTTCCTCCACGTGCTTCGTCCAAAATATGAATTTTATGACTGTGGTAAAAATAACACTTTATTTTTTTTTTGCTCAAAATATAGGGTCTAAATGAT